CATACCTTGGCGAGTCGCGACACGTTTTTGGCAACCCCCACGTTGTAAACCCCAAGGCATTAAGTTGGTAAAAGTGAGAAATAGATTGGTAAATCCAACGGATAATCCAATTACCCTGGAAGATCGAAGTTGGTAATATCAATGCAAAGCAGTGGTCACTAATTCTTTAAATTCGATCTGTTTGGTGGTTGCTAGAGTTCATTGCTGTTGTGATGATGTGAATGGAATTAATGAACGGCATTATATAAATGGAATTAATCATAGAATGAGATCATGGACTTGCAAGCATCTATTGGATATCGTTATTCCAATATATTCCAATGTGGGAAAACCCTGAATATAACCAAAAAAACGCAATACATTACATGGGTGATTAACCAATATTAACCACTTAAGGAAATGCGGCGCTCATGGTCCCTGCTCGTGGTGATAACTCAGCTTCCAGTCCTACTTGGCTGATGCAAGCCCCGAATCTGGATTACAGGTCTCCAGAAATGATTGGATCTTACTCCACTGCTATATAGCGTTATTAACCACCATCAACCCTTATTCGGAGCTCTTGAAGCCCCTTTGGTAGACAGGGTCCGCTGCCAAATTTGGTTGATGGCGAAGCACTTGAAACAAAACAGCAAATATGAATAAATACGATACAGTTTTGGATACTATGCTTAGAACCAAAAACTCTCTCTCTCTCTCTCTCTCCCTCTCCCTCTCCCTCTCTCTCTCTCTCTCTCGCTTTCTACATGCACATAATCATGTCTGCAAATATCTGGATAAATCGACACCATTCACCAACTTGAACTCAGGCTAATTCGGGATGATTCCCCCTACTAACCATCATTGCAATGACGTTGCAGTGAGGTCGTTCCCATTTATCCAGATAATACCCATCAGAACCCATCATATCATGTTTGATGGCTTACATCACATGTTTCATCTTTCTTCGTGTTTTTTGATGGCTTGCATCAACATGTTTCATCATGTTCATGGTTAAGCAACCCTCCCAACCAGATTCATCCAGTGAATATCACCATGGATCCAAGGGGCGCATGGCTTCGGGCCCGGGGGGCGCCAAGTCCACATAACTCCCCGTGCGCAGGGTCACCTTGTGGATGAACACAACATCGCATGAACGCAACATAACAGAAAGAACGCTTTTTTTTGAATCGGTACCCCTACTGATCATCATTCCAGTGACGTCGCAGTGAGGTCATTCTACGTTTCACACACGCACATCTATCTACTATATAGATAATTTTTATATATATATATATTAAAAAAAATGATAAATAAATATATATATATATATGCATCAATAGAATACATGTGTATCTGATCTAAACTACAGCTACCAGCGTTTGTTTATACATATGCATACATACAGCTATAAACAATCTATTATCTAATCTACTGATGGAACAAACACAACTCATGTACGCTTATTACATGCATATTATCATTGGGTGAGGTCGCAGCTCGTGCCAGCAGGTGCTGGGCATATATGCCCTTGGATCATATCGATCTCGGGGCTGAGACAGTGTTGATAAGAATAAGAAACTTCACAAGCAATCAATATCTTACCAGAACTATTGTGATTTTAGTGTTTTTCATACAGTTTAGTGTCTTTATAAGACACCTCAAGACCTGAAAGTGTGACTGGATTATTTTAGACAAGGGCTGAGAGTCGTGATAGTGCCCACGGTGGGCAAGCACATGCAAAAACTCCAGTGGGGACCCCACCTAAAATTCTCAAAGATTTTGGTGGTCCCTGCGCCTTTATCCATCAGGCGTGGTGGTGCAGCATGGTGGCTTCAATCCACCCCAAAGATGGGACTCATGTGGGATAATTACCCACAATCCAACCCAAGTAATTGTGGTATCAATATCCACTGGTCATTTGAATATCAGGTGTAAATGTCCCAAGTACTACTGGCTCAAACTGCATCAAATTGCCAGAACTTCACGTAGTTTCACCGCCTGTCCCCGCGTCTAGCTACGGTCTGTAGGTGGCTTCCTGACTCCAAACATAGCCTCACCTGGGCTGAGGTCATGTGTGATATGCTGAATCTACAGCTTTAGCTGCTATAGCATGTATGTATTTTTGTGGTGATATTAGTGGCGATAACGAACCACTTATAAATCATAAATGCAAATTACCCAGCTTGCTTTGTACTATTGAGGATATTGACAGCTTATGGCATACCTTGCACGTCACAGTCAGGTCATTTGTTGCTATGTAGTTCTACTTGGAAAGAAAGTCTCTGAAATTGTGAATTTAGTTGCCAACTGGTACGAAATTTGAATATATAAGCGCAGTATGCCCACATATGCCCATGATAACCGGGGCCCCAGTAAGGCCCACTGTACCAACTTAGGTTCATCACTCAAGATCCCCATCTGTTGGTTTCTCCATGTTTCTCCAGGTGATTGAGAGTTTGACGCCATGTCTGGCTGAACACTTATCATTTACCTTGTAACCTCCCCTTCACCTGGTTTTCATCAATGTCTACATTTGCGTCTCCAACAGCCATGACTCTGACAGAAAACGGCTCAACACCAACCCACTGACCATGATTCACGCAACATTCACTAGCCGATTTCACCCAAACATGCAAGTCCTTCAAGAATGGCACCCATCATCAACATACGGAATCATACGGATTGTATAATCTTATGTGAGTAGGGTCATTTTCTTGGTAGGACCAGGCTTCTTGCTATGCTTGCAACCTGTTTGGGGATGCCATTCTGACTTAATCATGATTATGCCGCAACCTGACGCGCATGAAACAAAACCGTTTTTTGGTGCGGTTTCCATTGCTCACTATATCCTTTACAGTCACATTGTTTTGAGGTCATTGTGGATCATTAAAATCATCCCAAAGTGGTTGATTTTCTCAAATATGTTTGGTCCAGTTGCAAATTGTTCCCCACATCTTTGTGTGGGGTTCTTGTTTTTGGTTGTGCACTCCCGCCTGCCTCCTCCTTCTTCTCCTCCTCCCGACGCTTCCCTCACACACAACTTAAAAACACACACGCACACACACACACAGAACTTGCTCACACACAACATATTCACACACAACTTGCTCACACACACAACTTGTCCATACACACAACTTGCACACACACACACACGACTTGCTCACACACAACTTGCACACACACACACACACCCTGCTCACACACACACAACTTACTCACACACACACAGCTTGCTCACACACACAACTTATTCACAAATACAACTTGCTCACATACAACTCTCACACACACAACTTGCTCCCACACAACTTGCTTACACACAACATGCTCACACACAACTTGTCCACGCACAACTTGCTCACACACAACTTGCTCACACACACACACACACGCACAACTTGCTCACACACAACATACTCACACACGACTTGCACACACACACAGTTTGCTCACACACACAACATCCTCACACAAAACTTACTCACACACAACTTGCTCACACACAACTTGTCCACACGCAACTTGCACACACACACACACACGCAGACACATCTTGCTCACATACAACTTGCACACACACACACACAACTTGCTGACACACAACTTACTTACACACAACTAGTCCCCACACACACAAAACATATTCACACACAACTTGTCCACACACCACTTGCTCACACACAACTTACTCACACACACAACATATTCACAAACGCACACAACTTGTCCACACACAACCCGCGTCCACACACAACTTGCACACACACACACAAGTCGCTCACACACAGCATCCTCACACACAACTTACCCACACACACACAACTTGGAGATATCCAGAGCCATTTGGTGTGGCAGGCGTGGCACTTGGTGACATCGACCTTACGTTTGCGCGGCAGGCATGGCACTTACGGCACTGGGCTGGCTCTTGTGACGCGCTTGGTCCGCGCTGGTCGCCGGTGACGCCGCGGTCTTTTGCGTGGCATGCGTGGCACTTGGAGACATCCAGGGCCATTTGGTGGCAAGTGTGGCACTTGGTGACATCGACCTTGCGTTTGCGTGGCAGGCATGGCACTTATGGCACTGGGCTGGCTCTTGGTCCGCGCTGGTCGCCGGTGACGCCGCGGTCTTTTGTGTGGCAGGCGTGGCACTTGGAGACCTCCAAAGGCATTTGGCGTGGCAGCACTTGGTGACATCGACCTTGCGTTTGCGTGGCAGGCATGGCACTTGTTGCACTGGGCTGGCTCTTGTGACGCGCTTGGTCCGCACTGGTCGCCGGTGACGTCGCCCTGCCTTTCCCATTCCGTCTTCACCTCTTTTTGGTGACTTATTGGAAGAAGTTGACATGTGGGGTTATCCGGTCCTTTAATTTTTGTTTTTTTGGATACTTTAACCCTGGAATTCAAAAGGCCCTACAAAAGGGGCCGCTGTACAGAGGCCCTATTCTGAAGTAAAGGCCTAAATTCAGCAAACCAGATTTGAAGCATATATCCTGACATATATATATATATATATGACAATTCTCCAAGCACACCATGTCTAGCTAAGGGTGTGAAAAGATGCTTGCCACATGTAAATATTTTGCAAAATTTGCAAATATTTCACGCGTACAAAAAAAAGTTTGTTGAAGGGGCGCCATTCCACGCCTCATTTGGGTCTTTTCACACCAAAATTGGTCCTTTCCACGGTTTTTTGAAGCCTTTCCATGGGATATTCCACGGCCATTCCACGGCCTACCTTTTTCTGTGACTTCTTTAATCATCCTAATTCTTTTGTGGGATCTCATCATGATGGGTTCACTGGTCACATGTTCCCGAACCTTGGGCCTCCACAGAAGCAGTTATAATCATGCCTGGAGGGGGACCTGTGGTGAAACCCGATTTTGGGCCTCTACTTTTGTTTAGGGTCGAGGCCCTACAAAAGGAGGCCGTCGACGGCCAAGGTTAAAGACTTGATATTGAACTCATTTTTCAATATAGTTTCATGTGAAATTCCTGAAATTGATTGGATTCTGCTTGATCTCAGCGCTGTGCTGTCCGTGCTTCTGGGCTCGTGACAAAGTCCGCCGGGAGAAGCAGTTCCAGGCGCGAAGCTTGCGGCATGGGCCCGGCCAGCAAAGCCTGGTGAAATTTCACCTTTTTTGGTGGAGGGAAGCGTTTAAGGGGATGGGATTAATCATAGTGACATTATGTGACAATTTTTCCTTAATCTGGATTCATTAAGAACACTAAGCTTGAACAGAAATCAATGGTTACTGTGTTTCAATCATTGAAACCAAAACAGGATCATTAATGTGGAACCATAATTCATATTTAAACGGTTGATTATTAAGAAAACTGTGATAACAATGTGAATGTGAGGGAATCAACAAATAATTGCACAACTAATGGTGTAATGTATGATTCTTTGAGTTAGGCATGCCTACTTGAACAAAAAACAATTTGACATCAATTCCTCTGTTCAACCCAACGATCCCAGGATCCGGTTGAAGGCAGCAACCATAATTAGACGATAGAAACATCCGGAACATCCGGCAACATGGGGGCCCATTTTCCTTCGCACCTGATTCATTTTTGGGAGCACATCACTGTGAACAGCAAGCAATCCAAAGTTCACCCCAAAAGTGATATTGTTGATCGGGGACTCGGTAATACCTCAGCACCACTGCAGTCATCCCATTCACTACCGCCTTGAGCAACTGCGTTTCGCCATCGCTTGATGGCAAGCCTACCACATGGCATAACCGTCCCCCTCCAGCTCTCCGAAGCTCTACCAGTTCATTGACAAAAAAACAACCATGACCACCAATGATGTCCGATGTCGATGTCGCAATCCCCGATCTCCCCAAATAGGCATATACAGGCACGTAACGTATACCAGGTATAGTGCCGGGCACGCGCCGGGGCGGAAGTTTCAAAATTAGAACATGACTAGAATAGGATAGGAACCAGTTTGCTTGTTTGAATATATTGGATGCTGGTGAGCTGGAAAGAAGTGAATTGAAATTATATAATTAGAATGAAAAAATAAAGTGAATGAAGTGAATGAATGAAAAGTGACTGAAGTGGCTGAAGTGACTGAAGTGAATGAAGTGAATGAATTGCCATTTTTAAAACATATGACACATGTCCAGCTGAAATCACGCACGACCATGCACGCGAGCACTTAACACATACACGCGCGAGACGCGCGAGCAAAAACGGGCGCGCGCGCGAGGTGCGCGAGCAAGTCGCGGAAGCAAGGCGCGCGAGCAAGGTGCGCACGCGCGTGCGCGCGGGGGTTATATAGCTGGCGCGCGAGCGTGCGCGCGCACTTCGGATACACGTGCACGCGCAAATAAGCTCACATAAGCTCACCTATAGTGCATTTGGTGAGCTTATTTGCGCGCGCTAATAATGCTCGCGCGCTCACGCTGCGCTCCCCGCGGCTGGTGAGGCACCACATATGAAACCATATGTTTTGAATCAAGCCCATGAATGAAGGAAGGAAGGAATGAATGAATTAACGAACGAATGAACGAAACGAATGAATCAATAAATGAATGAATAAATGGATGACTGCTTGTGTGAATGAATCAATGAAATTTGCCAACGTCATCTTCCAAGAGTGCTCTCTGAGACTCTGGGACCCTCAGTTTTTTACGATTTTTATGTGAAACCGAGCTCTCGCTACAGTCTCACGCGCATTTTGCCGACCTCATCTCCCAAAAGTGCTCCGAACGTGACGGTTTTTGAAAATTTTCGAGTGCAAATCGAGCTCTCGCTACGAGTCTCGTGCGCATTTTGCTGGCCTCATTCTTCTTTTTGAACATTTTCAAATGCAAATCCAGCTCTCGCTAAAAAGTGTCGCCCACATTTTGCCGACCTCATCTTCCAAAAGCGCTCCGAGACTGACAGTTTTTGAACATTTTCAAATGCAAATCGAGCTCTCGCTACAGTCTCGTGCGCATTTTGTCGACAACGTTTGCAGATCGAGGCCCGCAACTGAGCGAGACCACGGAAACCACTTTACCCGAAAAAAACGCAGGGTTTCGCGCCCGAGAGTCTTTTCAAGCCTGAATTCATGCGTCCCGACCTGTTAGATACACTTCCAACTATGACATGATGTAGGGGGTTTTAAGGTGGATTGGGGGTTTTAAGGTGGATATGGCTCTAGCGTGGGGTTTTAGAGTTGTAATGCATGTCTATAGAGTGCTGCCCGTGATAATCGTCCGTAACTCGGAAGTTTTCAAACTAAACTTCCTTCGGTGAATATCTTCCTACGCGCAAAACACAAACATACATGAATATTTACATATACCTGGAGTCTCCACTACCCTTCGTTTTTGGGGTCGTTTGCAAAACACCTCTTTTTTGGGTACGTTTGATACTTTTTGGGGTCGTTTCATGCAAAAAAGGCCTTTTATCTTCCAAGCAGGTGCTGGCTATATACACTAAGCATTACTAAGCTAAATCATGTGAGCGATTTGTTCTTGTCCTGTGTAATGTTGGATCAGGCACCCTCACACATCATTCAGACCCAGGCGCATAACTAAAACTTCATGGCTGAAAAGCTTTGGATCCACAATTCGTGTCGAAATATAAAACCTTCGCCTGCTTTTGATAATGAGCTGCGGGGGCAAACATTTGCACATTGCGACACTTATAATGCGAAAATATACACGGGGTTTGAGCACATCCACTCGCCCTGATCTTCTGGTGCCAGCTGCTGAAACAATTTTGACGGATGGACGGACGGACGTGAAAAAAAAGGTGCGTTTTTTGGAAAAAAAGTCCTTTTGGTTCGGACGGGTCCAAGCCGGACGGATATTTCCGTACTTTGGACGCATTTTTCCGTACTTTCGGACGCCGTCCGGACGGCCCTCAGCAAAAAAAGGTACGTTTGAAGAAAAAAGGCCTTTGCATGTTTGCGTTGCATGGGCAGATCTTCCAAGGACAAGTTGTCACCAAAATTGAGCAATTCACCCGCGTGTCCGCAACTGAGTGTTGAGACCTACCCTTGAGACCTACCCTCATGCGTGCAATAATGAAAGAGCAAAGCGCGTCCAAAACCCAAAGCAAGCAAGATCGAAACCATGGCATCAAACACGTAAACGAGAACCAATAGTTTGGAAATCTTTGCTCCTGCACCTTCAAGCAGCCAAAACAAAAATGGCACCTGCAACAATGAGTTGCAAGTTGGCAATGTGGCACATGTATTTGATTTCCACAGTTTCAGCTGTACCTCCATGAGTGAACATCACTAACATGCAAAAAACAATACTTGATTTCAAAAAAAGTACTTTCGGGAAAAAATGCCATTTTTCTTGAAAGACCCCAAAAATTAAGGGTCGTTGGAGAGTCAAGGTACAAGTAAATATATGTATACAAATATAATTGAGGGAAAATTAGCAGTCAAACTTATGGACAGGTGCATCAACAGTGGTGAGAAGAGTCAGAGAAGAGAAAGAGTCAGAAGAGAAAGGGTCAGAAAAGAGATATCAGTAGAATAGAAAGAAGATGCAGGTGCGCGAAAAGGTAGAAAAGTCGCGAAACGCTGTGTTTTTCCAATGGTTTGTGGCTCCTCGACAAGTAGGCTCGCTAAAGCGGCGGGTGCGGAGTCAGCTGGCCACATGAGAGATGAAAAATTGCACGCCGTTGTGGCATGAAGCACATTTGGAAGTCAAAAAGTTTAAAAAACATCTTGCATCCGGAGCACTTTTCGCAGTTCCGGTCGAGCTGAAAGTGAACGCCGTTGTGGCGCGAAGCACATTTCGAAGTCAAAAAGTTAAAGACACCTCGCGTCCGGAGCACTTGTAGACGTTGAGCTGCTCAAAAAGTGCGCGCAGCTGTGGTGCGAAGCACAATTCGATGCAGTTCGGATGCGGTTCTGCGTGGCAGGCACGCAATGGATTCTGGACCCTGTCAAAAGTAAGCCAAACGTTATAACGTGCCATGTAATCAATATGATTGATTTTTGTCTGTGCCATGTGAAATTATTTTAAAGATGCCTTTGTGTTCCCCATGAGAAGCAGGAAGGCTAAGTACTTAGCTAACCCCTTAGCCTGAGTCAAAAATTGATCATTACAAACAGGCTAACCCCTTAGCAACCTCCCAGCTAAACCATTAACATGGGCATCATCTTAACCCTTTAGCTAGCCAGTTAGGAACCTCCTTATCAATGTAGCTAGGTAGCATAAGATCTGTTAAGTATTTGGCAACCCCGGGGCCCATCTAAGTAGGGTTTCTCTGCAGTTGCAAAAACACGATGGCAGGAGTAGGAGGCTTGAAAAGGATCTGCAATGATGCATTTCGCATGGCAGGCGCAGTACAAAAGACATCTCCATCAGAGATGTTAGGAGGTCAGATTTCCTGAGACGGGCTGCATTTTGGAGCACCAATCTTCAGGTTTGCTAAGATGATTTTGCGTGACACGTGCAGCACTTCGTATGACCCGGCCTCAATTTTTTCGTGGCAGGCGCAGTACTTTAGACAGATGAGGTGGGAAAATCCCGAAACGTTACGCATTTGCATGAGGCCGTCAGCTCTGCACTCAGCTTTCCATTTTTGAAGGACGTCTCGAAGAATTGCTTCGTTTTGAAGGTCTCGCATAATTGCTGCCTTCCAGCTAGACAGTACATAGATGGATGCATGGATGGATAGATAGACACAGAGATAGAGATGGAGACTGAAATAGAGACGCAGATAGAGACAGAGAGGAATAGAGAGATAGGTAGATAGATAGATAGATAGATAGACAGACAGATAGATAGAGAGATAGGCACGGCAGAGAGATAGCTAGAGAGACAGGCAGAGAGATAGGTAGAGAGACAGGCAGAGAGATAGGTAGAGAGATAGGTAGAGAGATAGGGAGAGATAGAGAGAGAGAGAGAGACAGACAGAGAGAGAGAGAGATAAAGATTTGGCGAGGTTGAGAGGGAGAGAAAGATACATGGATAGGGAACTAGATATATAGTGAGACAGGGAGGGAGAGAGAGAGAGAGAGAGAGAACCAAATAGATCGATCGGTAGATAGACACAGAGACAGGCGCACAAACAGACAGACAGACAGACAGACAGACAGACAGACAGACAGACAGGTAGAGAGATACAGCGATAGAGGGAGATAGATAGATAGAGGGAGATAGATAAATAGATAGATAGATAGATAGATAGAGATAGATAGATAGATAGACAGATAGATAGATTGATAGATAGATCAATAGATAGATAAATAGATAGATAGATAGATATAGAAAGAGAGAGAGAGAGAGAGAAATAGGTAGATAGATAGGTAGGGATAGATAGATAGGATTAGGCAGTCAGGATTAGATAGATAGGATTATACAGATAGGATTAGACTAGATAGGATTAGACTAGATAGAGGATTAGAGAGAGAGGGGGAGAGGGGGAGGGAGAGAGAGAGAGAGATAGATAGATAGAAAGATAGAAAGATAGAAAGATAGATAGATAAATAGATAGATAGATAGACAGATAGATAGATAGGAATAGATAGGAATAGATAGGATTAGATAGGAATAGATAGGAATAGATGGCAATAGATAGGAATAGATAGGACTAGATAGGATTAGATAGGATTAGATAGGAATAGATACGAATAGATAGGAATAGATAGGAATATATAGGAATAGATAGGAATAGATAGGAATAGATAGGAACAGGCGGGAATAGATAGGAATAGGTAGGAATAGATAGGAATAGATAGGAATAGATAAGGAGATAGGAATAGATAGGAATAGATTGGAATAGACAGGACTAGATAGACAGGAATAGATAGATGGGAAAAGACAGATAGGATAACATAGATAGGAATAGATAGATAGGAATAGAAAGACAGGAATAGATAGATAGAAATAGATAGATAGGAATGAATAGACACAGTAGGAATAGATAGGGTAGATAGGAATAGATAGATAGATAGATAGATAGATCGATCGATAGATAGATAGATAGATCGATAGATGATAGATAGATAGATAGGTAGATAGATAGATAGAAATGAAAAGAAATGAATAGATATGAATAGATATGAACAGATATGAATAGATATGAATAGATAAATATGAATCGATAGATATATCGATAAGATTAGATATTAGATAGATAGACAAGATTAGATAGATAGGATAAGATAAGATAAGATAAGATAGAATAGATCGATCGATAGATAGATCGATAGGATTAGAAAGATAGAATTATACAAATAGGATTAGACAGGTAGGATTAGACTAGATAGATCGGATTAGATAGATAGGATTACATAGATAGGGTTAGATAGATAGGATTAGATTGATAGCATTAGATAGAAAGGATTTGATAGATAGGATTTGATAGATAAGGTTAGATAGGTAGGATGAGACTAGATAGGATTAGATAGATCGGAATAGATAGATAAAGATTAGACAGATAGGGTTAGACAGATAGGATTAGACTAGACAGATAGATTAGACAGATAGGAATAAATGGATAGGATTAGATAGATAGAATTAGATAGAATAGATAGCATTAGACAGATAGATAGATAGATAGATAAATAGATAGATAGATAGATAGAAAGATAGATAAATAGACAGATCGATAGATCGATCGATAAATCGATAGATCGATCAATCAACGAATAGATAAATAAATAGATAGATATATAGATAAGATTAGATAGATAGATTAGATTGGATTAGATTAGTTTAGATTAGAGAGGATAGGCTAGGATAGATAGATAGATAAATAGATAGATAGATAGATTAGATTAGAATAGATAAGATAAGATAAGAAAATATAAGGTAAGAAAAGATAAGATACGATAAAAAACATAAGATAAGATAAGATACGGTAAGGTAAGATTAGATAGATAGATAGATAGATAAGATTAGTTAGTTAGTTAGATAGATAGATAGATAGATAGGATTAGATAGATAGATAGATAGATAGATAAATAGATAGATAGATAGATAGAAAGAAAGAAAGATAGATAGATAGATTAATAGATAGCTAGATAGATAGATAGATAAATAGATAGAAAGAAAGATAGATAGATAGATAAATAGATAGATAGATAGATAAATAGATAGATAGATAGATAGATAGATGGATCGATGGATCGATCGATCGATAGATAGATGGATCGATAGACACATACATAAATAGATTGATTGATTGATAGGTCGAAAGAGAGGGAGAGATATCAAAACACATAATGATAGGGATAAACAAATAGAAACGCAAACAAATAGATAGAGAGAGAGAGAGAAAAAAAAAGAGAGAGAGAGAGACACACAAGAAGAGACAAAGAGAGACTCAAAGCCTCAGTCACCTTCCATTCCATCATTGGATTCACTCTGCCATCTATGCATCACAACAACTCACCTCTCCTATAGGTTCCCTAGCTTTGAAACTCCCGCCGCCGCCTTGTGCGGTACTACTGGTGTATAGTTTTATTTTTTTTAAAAAATAATATATATATATACAATAAACACACAATATACTATACATGTATGTGATATGTTATGTACCCTCTGGTAATTTAACATAGCTATGGAACATCACTATTTTTATTAGGTAAATCAACTATAAATATCCCTATTGATATTTTTGGCTGAAGTACTGTTACCGTCATTTTCTAGTTAGAAAAGTTCTGACCCAATCAAAAGCCTAGAAAATGAAAAAAAACAAGTATAATTGTACGTTTTATTTGATTGGACTATTCATATTCATTTTCTAAAGGGATGTATGGATGTTTTGGACATTTTTTTTTACAAACAGGTGCATGAGAGTACAATCCTTTTTGGGTCTAGAAAATGATCTGTAATGCCATCATAAGAACAATAAAAAATGTTCGCTAAAAAAATGGTTTCAAAAATGGAGGACCAGAAATGAACAATGTTTTCTTTTGAAAATGAATTCCGCAATCCTTGCTAAGGCAGGTAATCCATATTCCCCAGGAATCACCAGAAAACATCAAATTGAACAATTGAGTTAATTCAGTCACCAAAAAAATCCAGAAAGAAATTGACCTGTAATCCAACGCCAACGTGAGTGATGTTTGTTCTCTGTCCAAGACTTGTTGAAGATTGGTTGATAGAATCAAGGTTGGCCAAGGTATCTCTATATTTTTTGTGGGTTTGCGTTGCCATGTGTTGCCAAACGGCTCAAGAAAATGCAGCTCTTAAACATTTTTTTCTACAAAATAAATCAACATGCCTTGGTATTAAAAAAACACGATTTGGGGGGTAACTCACATGATCCCCCATGTGCGAGACTGAAAATTAACGGAACAGTCACAAGTCACAAGCCTGGAAAACGGAAAAAAAAAAACAGATAAAGATCGATGTTCTTGGGGGCCTGGTCTAATCATTTTCTAGAAATGTTTATGCCTGTTCTGCACGTCCATTTTTTCAAGAAAATAGGCACATGGAAGTGCAATTCACGATCAACTCACCACTTGTGCTTTAGAAAATGATCAATAGCATGAAGCTGCATCATTCAAAATACCACAGAAATATGTTTCAAAATTCAAGACCCAAAATAAGTCATTCTTTCCCTAGAAAATGAACTGCCTAACCCTTCCTGAAACCGGCACCCTATATTCCCCAGGAATCCCCAGAAAACATCAAATTTGTCCTCCATGAACTAAAAACCCACTTCAAAAAACATGATCCAAGGAATCCCCCCCTAAAATGATGTCATCGACCCTTTCATGTTCAGGCATTTTCTAGGCAAAAATTAAATGAGCCAAGGGTTTCAAAAAATGCTAGTGTCTCTGTTTGGCTTACACTTACTTCAAACAATATTGCGCATTGGCACTCCAAGATTTTGGCACTTTCGAGTGAACCCTGAAGTTCCGTCTGCACAATGTTGGAATAGAAAGTTGAAAAAAACATATCATGTTCAAGCATTTTCTAGCAAAGCATTGAATGAGTCAAGATTTTTCATACTTTCCCAGAATGTTATTTTGGAATCTTTTTTCTGTTTGGTTCGTGCCTCACTGAAAAGACATCTTTTGTTGGCACTTCAAAATGTTGGCACATTTGACTGAATCCTGAAGTTCTGTCTTCCCACTTTTGGAATAGAACATTGAAACGCATCTTGTCACAATTCAGCAAAACCTAGATGAATTTGGATCTATTTTGTGATGCTTTTGGGCACCCCAAAAGAGGTCTAGAAAATGCATGGCACAATCAATTTGTCTCTTGATATCAATCTAGCAGCTGTCTAGAAAATAACTTGATATGGAAAGATGAACTTGGCCCTGGGTATGGGGCTTTTTAAGCATTCCCCAGGAGTGACCCAGGAAGCATTCGGACAAGAGTTCGATTGATTTTTTTTCTTCCAGCCCTTATCTCTCTAGAAAATGGTCAGGTACAGTTACAAATAAAATTGTGAAGGACCTTTTCGACTTTCCCCAGGAAATGTAGGCAAATTGACTGGGCAGGAAGTTTGTTAAATTACCAGAGGGTACATATGTAGTTATATGATGTTATATGTAGATGGGAAGAAATAACACATACATAGATTACATAGAAACAAAAATCCCATGGGTTGTATCACCCAGCAGTGGTTGATCAGCACCAAAGGCAGCACCAAAGGCGCCGGCCTTTGGTGCCGGGGCCAATGCTCAAAGCCCGATGGCTGGAGCCGTTGCCAAGGCCATTGTGGATGGCACCACGGATGGAGGCCACCTGGGGATTCTACCATGGATCTTTGCCACAACTTGGGGTTTTATACTGATTTTCCCGAAAAATAAATCAATCAATATATATATATAATTAAATGATTATATGGGATATTTATGGATATTTAGTAAATGATACACCTGATTAAGAAATCCAGTCTGCCAGTGGCTGAACTCATGTGGCCACTAGGCGTCGGGCAGGTGATACTGAGCGAGCAGTTCGTCCGCGGCTGGCCTGCGCATCAGATTTTCAAGTTTTTGCCATGCCTTGCATTTGCATGCATTTGCTGCTTCAGGCTTTGAAATGATCCGGCGTTTCAAGAAAATGTTGCTGACCACAGCTATCTCTCTATCTCTCTTCAAGGGGATGTCGGTGCCTCTGCTCGCTTTTGACCACACTTCTTGCAGAAAGCGGCGTCCTCAGCTGGAGCATCCCCGGGCTTCGGAAGACCCTCAGGTTTGGTCTGATGAAGTACCAAAACTGATTGTGAATGAAGAATGGCAAGCAAATGATATGGAGGTTTACTAAAATGCGGGTACCCGAAAATGGGTTGTTCTGTTAATGGAAAATCATGGAAAATCCTATTAAAATTGATGATTTGGCCGCACCCATTTTAGGACACCCCCATATCAATAGATCGTTGATCGACTGAGGTGGGTTTGCTGTGGTCAGAGGTTGCTTCAAACATCGTCCCAAAGTGGAGCAAAGTCAAACTCAAAACTATAAAATACCCTGAGGTGAACTAGCATAACAACATAAGGATCATAAGGCAGAAGTACAGAAGATCCCAAGTTTCCGAGGAGATGATCATAAATGACCTATAGACTTTCTACATCTTGGAACAGTATACTATAATTTGTTGGAGTTGGCACGAATTTACATTCCGTGATAGGCTCCGTCCCAAAGCTGCAACCGCGATTCATCTGAAAAGAGATCGCCGCAACTCGAGCAAGTTGCCTGCAAAAAACACGCATTTCATTCAATGCACACAGCTAGACTGATTCGATGATAGACACGGATTTGTATAGTTTTGGCACCGCCTAATGGTCCGCCCTGAAGCACCTAAACGTGGCTCAACATGGCTGTGTCTATCCATTTGCAAAATCGCACTTTCCAAAAGGATCCAAAAGGCATGGTCGAAAGGATCTGAAATTCCTTTCTACATGTTTTGTTCGTGGTTTCAATATGTTCAATGACCTCCAGAACTAAAAATAAGTCAGATTGGTATCTTCCCAAGCAAAGCTGAGAAAAAAACATAGACCCTGACCCTGCCATGGGGGTTGGAAGACAACTATCCTTAAGAAAAGGTTTGAATCTCAGGGTCGAGGCTCAACGGGTTTCCTGGGCCTGCATCCCCACAGGCGGCGCAGATGCTTGCCCCAACATCGCCTGGGATCACCGTGGGAGCCACGGATAAATCAGGCCGTCGCCTGCCCCTGAAATGTTTTGAATGATACATGTTCCATGATCAAAAGATTGTGTGCGTGTGTGTGTGTCCATCTCACAATGTAAATCCGTAGAATCGTATAACGGGAAAAAAACAAAACGCATCTAAAGGATTGATGATCTGCCCGAAGTTTTGACCCATCCATTCATAGCCATGCAGAGGCTGTCAGGACCCTAGCTAGCTATGGTAGAAATATCTTTGGTAATTCAACCATGCAACCTCTCCTTTCAATAGTTTTATAAGGCAGCCGTTTGACATTGTTGATTTTCTTGCTATCAGGTCTAATTCCAGCGGACAGTGTTTTGTTTTGGCAAAGCTGTGATGATGTACAAAAACAATCAGCCGATAGTCCACCAGATGTGTATGTGCGTGAACAAAAAGGATCTTTAAACATATAAACCCTGTATCAAGCTGTTCTGGCTGGTGGTTGAGCAACCCAATGGAGAAACAACATGACATTAATTAATGGCAAATCATCCTCGATATTCTAAGAATCAAAATCAGAAAAATATATATATATATGTATATGTATCTTTTTATATATATATATATATATAACCCGGCCAACCGTGAGATGAGATAAGAGAAGCACTCAATTAATGATTGCTCTTTTATTTTGGCATACGGTAATCTTATTCATGCCCAAAATCAAAACTCCAATAACAAACATGCTCCGCATTGTAGTAACCCCCACAAAGATAGGACAGTATTTTTACAATAGAAATACTGTAATATAGCTATTATCCAAAGAACTATATGTGAAGTATTGTGAAGTATTCGTCCATAATCATACGTCCATGTTGTTTTTCATGTTTTTTGTTATTCTTCTTGGGCGTTGCTATCACCTGAGTTCCCCAGCAGCTGCATGGATGGCAGCTTCTCTCACTGCCTCGCGGGGTCCTCGGGATGGCCGGAAATCTTTGGTGTCCCGTCGGCCTAATATGAAAGACCCCATAAATGATCCCAAATAACTGTAGATCCTCCACTAAGCCATGGTTTTTACGGAGTGTTTAGGGAAAGATGGGGAAAGAGATTGATAATAACAGGATGCTTGTTAGATTGTGATGCGATACGGAAGTTCTGGGACAATTACAGTAGTCACCGCCTCCAATATCCCAATTTGGATAAATTGAATGTATATATATATATATATTCCCATAAGAGGTGCATTTGGACGGAGGGGGGGGGGTTCTAAGGTTCCAAGCTGGGAGACAAGCAGGAGACAAGGTGGGAATGTGCAAATGATCCCGGCGTCGGGTGCCTGAAAGGATGATGAGGCGACAGCCTGAGCCTGTGCCAAAGCCATCCGCACCTGGGATGTTTGATCTCGATCTCCACGAAGTGACCGGAATATGCATAGGTAGAGAGATAAATAAATAGATATGATATAATTAAGATAGATTGATTCATTGATTCATTGACTGGTTGATTGATTCAATGATTCATTGATTCATTGATTCATTGATTTGTTGATTGACTAAAAAGAACCAATAAAACTAAACTAGATCAAAAAGGAAAATGAGAAAATGATAGGTAAACAAAAACATACACATATGTAGCATCCCCCCAATTAAAAAAAAAAAACTTTACTTCGTGTGATCCCCACCATGACATTTATACATGTTCTTACTGGCACATCTTCTGGCATTCTATCTGACATATCTTCTGACATTCTATTTGGCATTCTATCTGGCATATCTTCTGGCATATCTTCTGGCATTCTATCTGGCAAATCTTCTGGCATTCTATCTGGCATATCTTCTGGCATTCTATCTGACATATCTTCTGGCATTCTATCTGGCATTCTATCTGGCATATCTTCTGGCATATATTCTGACATATCTGGCATTCTATCTGGCATTCTATCTGGCATTCTATCTGGCATATCTTCTGGAATATCTTCTGGCATATCTATCTGGCATATCTTCTGGCATATTTTCTGGCATTCTACCTGGCAAATCTTCTGGCACTCTATCTGACATTTTATCTTCCTACATGAGGTCCGGCAGGGAACACTTGGCGTGGATACTCGCGGTTGAGGTCCGGCAGGGAACACTGGGCGTGGATGGTCGTGGTTGAGGTCCGGCAGCGAAGGTCCGGCAGGGAACACTGGGCGTGGATGGTCGTGGTTGAGGTCCGGCAGCGAACACTGTGGATCGCGAGTCGCAGTTGAGCAGGAGGACGAGGAGGACAACGAGACGAGGAGGACAACGAGAGGAGGAGGACAACGAGAGGAGGAGGAGAGGAGGAGGAGGAGCAGGCAACTTAGATAAAATCTAACAACCCTCACCTGGCAGGTGGGGAAAAATCTATGGTCTACAGCGGTAAAGTGAAACAAAAGCATAAAGTTAAAGAACTGTAAAAATGTGTGTGAACATTGCAAACATTATGACATTGATGTCAATATTGTCAATCTTGGTTCTTGATGTTTTTCAATGCTGTGTAATATTAGTATATCAAGGTCCGGAGCGTCAACCATGTTCTCACTGATCATACTGTGACTGGTTGTTGACATCAACAGAATATCAAACAGGCCGCATTCTGTATTATGAGGATCACCATCAGCATCCAATTCATTGTTCATGAATATTCATTAACATCACTGTACCACGGTGGAGATGGAAAAAAGGGTTCAACCGTGGACGTGTTCCAAAAAAGGGAAACCACTGCCATAAATCGTAAATTAGTGATCGGCTAGGTTTGGAATCAGAACCAACCTCTCAACTATCATTTGGAATGATGGGACAGCAATACTAATTGAAATGCAACATAATGCAACTACATCACTGCCAAAAAAGGTTGCCTGTTGCCTTTTTTTTTGAAGCCTGCGATGTGACAGGTCAACCTGAGGCAATGGAAGTAGAGACCCATTTGCGGTGCAAAACGCGAAAATGTAAGCAACCACAGGCCGTTGACCCTATGATCAATCAAATATCAATCAGTTCCTAACCATCCAAAAACAGGGTCAGTTTCTCAAGGGGGTGGTCATTATCATATATATATATATTATTAAATCAGTCATTAAACAATGCTAGGGGAATGGCTGATTCATATCCGCCAAGGCTGCACATGGCCTTCGGGACCCAGATTCTCAACTTGCACACGCGCACTGGTCGACCGTTGCAAGCGACCTGTCACCCAGCCAGCTGTTGCTGATGTTTATATAGCAACTTGATGCCTGCTTTTTTACGCTTGCATCATGCCACGCACGCCAATATATATATATATGTTTATGTATGCATGTTTTGTTTGTATATATATATATATGTTTTGTTTGTATATATATATATACACGTATATGTATACATAGTTATAATTATCTATTCACAAGCATGTGCGTGTTTAAAATACGTACATACACAATATATATATATATATAATTATATACACATACCTAAAACCCTGCTGAATGATTCTACTAAACCGAGCTGAAACGATCTGACATGTTTGCCAAGCAGCCCTGATTCGTTATCCCGCTCCATATTCTGGCAGTGTTGCATGATCCAGAATCTGCAAATGACTACAAGTGCTCAATTCCAACACTGCGTTAAGGCTCTGCACCTAGGCTTCACAGACTAACGATGGATGTGACTGCTGGAGCAATACCATCCACTAGTCGCTAGCCCATTGGAACACAGCGGCATTTATCATGGCCGATCTTAGATCCTGAATGTAACCTCCCATTTCTGGCAAAAGAATGCACAAGATCGTATAAAGTAGTAAGCTATAGCAACCCCCAAAAAGGATAGACAAGGACATGATGATGATGATGATCACTATTATACCTATGTCTATGTACCATGATTTTACTTTTGTTTTTTTGTTTTTTTTTGGGGGGCTGCTTTATATACCCATCAAAAGTTTCCCCAGTAACACTACTGTAAGATCCATCGAGGCACTAATCTCCAGCACTGCATTGGGCGGAGCCAGCAGCTGCGTTTCTCGTGGCGCTCCAGCAGGGAGCTCCTATTTTTGGACCTACTTCGAAGGTGCATCCCAGCTGGTAAGCTGTTAATAACCCATCTATGGTCCATGTATCACTGATATTCACTGATGATTTTCCATATATAATCCAGTGAACGAACAGTAAACTATGGCAAAACATGTAAAAACTGGTATATAAATCATGAAACTAAATAGCTATGTAGCATAGCTATGTTACTATAATTATAAAAAAAAATACTAGAGAGTAAGTTACAACAAAGATTCATGGTTGAACAGTTTATAAGCAATGTTCGACATAGTTTATTAGTTTATATAGTTTATCCAGCCAAAAAATATGCAGAGCAATTTTGTGCTCGCAACCCATGATGGCTCACGTTCGAAGTGATTGGCCGGGAAATGCGCGTGGTCTTCACATGTTAGCAAAACCATCTCTGTTTGTTCTACGTCCAGCCTTGAAGATCGGACACCAAATACCCAAAAAATACAACTACTAATATATACATATAAATAATTAAATATATTTATGTACATATATTACTATATTATATAATATAGTGTAATATTATATTAATTTATTTTATTTTATATCATATTATATATATTCTGTTGTATTCTTTTCTATTGTACTATTCTGAGTCGACATTAGTCGTTCTACCCGATCATTACATCAAAAGGACATCAATCCAAATCATCAAGCTCGAAAAAAAAACAAGATCCAACATGAACAAAACAACAACAACAACAACGACGACGACGACGACGACGACGACGACAACAACAACAACAACCACAACCACAACCACAACCACCACAACCACAACAACCACAACAACCACAACAACCACAACAACCACAACCACAACCACAACCACAACCACAACCCATACCAACCTATCATTTTAGGATCAAAGCAGCCATCATTTTGGCAACGTTTTGGTCCGTTTCCGTCCTCAATCGTATCCAGCAGGAGCTCCACCGCCTTCTGTCGCTCTGCCTTGTTCCCCCGCACCTCCACCAGCCGCAAGGGACCACCATTCCTGCAGCGATGAACGGGGAGCGGCGAGAAATACCAGCAGTGGATTGGATTCAGGGACAATCTAATTATACAGGACAAATAAGGAAACCATAGATTTTCCCCTGAAATATGGGGTTTTCCAGGGGTCTCCTTTGAATTGTCCCTTAAACCAATCCATTGATACAAGAAATATCATGGAAATACCATGTAAAGACCATGTCCTTCTACAATTCTACAATATTCTACATTTGAAAAGTCTGTTTCAACTATAAATCACACCTCACAACAAAACAAAAAAAAACACGCAAATTCAACACATAACACATGGAAATGCAGTGCGATAGCTTTTACTTTGCACCCATGAAATTAAATTCAATATATATATATATATACAGTAAATATAAATCCATAAACGCGCACAACATTGCACAACTTTAGTGCCAAAACACCTAGCAACCTCCAGGGATGCGCCACTCTTTGCTCGGAGTTCTGAAACCTCGACTGGCAAATTCGGTCATGAAATATCCATAATTAGGATATCATTGAAATTCCTGGGCTGTAAAACTGTCTAACATTAAAGGATGGCAAATGTAGCCTAAGGTGCCAAACCCATAAACCATCCCCAATGACTCACAAGAATTCTGGAGTTGGAACCCACCAAAATTGCAGGTTGCTGATGCCCAGGGTAGCACATGAATAGAACTCAAAAACATGGACAACACATTGGAGGTGACCCAGGTGACCGGAGATTTTCACTCAGAACACTTCTCCGGGTAACTAGCCCAAAAACGTGAGCCATCGGTTTCGTGCTCTCAAACGCAGTATGGCGCACTTGCCGTGAGGACATTGTTGGGTTTGAGGCCCATAACCAAACTTATATCTACTCCAAGGGTAACACAGAAATTCGGGCCACCTTATTACAAATAACGATAAATAACAACACATCCAAAACAAATCAACATGGATCAAAAGGCTCCATTGACGATCATAACTTGCGCAACTGTAACCACTCTAACAAAACAACATACAAGTGAAATCAAATTTGGACCTGGGTAAAATCAAAGACCTCGGGGCCTTCGAATGTAACAAAACCTTCCAATTTAACCAATTTCCATTTCCACCATCCGCATTTGGTAGCCTCAAGTCCCCACAGTAGCGACCAAGTCAAATCTTACCAGAGTAATACCAGAGTATGACTTTGAATTACCTTGCCTTCAAAATTGATCAAGCATGTGCCCAAACAACGAATTGCATTTTCTGAAACCATTCACCAAGGTTTAGCAAGCATACCCTGCGGTAATCAAACATGGCTGAAAACTCCACCATTTACAAATCCAATTCAAACCTCCATTTATAGATATTTATAGTGGATTTCCCACCGGATTTCCGTGGATTTCCGTGGATTTCCGTGGATTTCCCGTTGCCAACATTTTAGGGTCCTATCTCCAAAAATCGTCGAGGCTCCGTCCGCCCAGCACGCCCCACAACCCATGCAGCGGCAGAGGAGGAAACGACGAACCTCGACACACAGAATTCGGATTGGATATGAGGGAAAACATACACCACATCGATCGAACAGGGATTTTCAATGAGGTCTTCACTTTCAGATTAACATGATTCCGCACTCAAAAGCAGATCCGAACCTGACATGAAAAATCCAAGCACTAGAATCCCCAGATTTCACGTCACCTCTTAGGTGTATGACTTTACGCGGGTAACTACTCAAGGTATCACCAGCATAGTGTGGTCCCAAAAAAGTGAAGATAGGATCAAATAGGTTAATTAGAAGTTACAATGCCAAGTAAGTATGGGAAGTAGATCATAGTAATTTACACTATAGATCTAAAGAATAACAAAAACTACGATTTTCGTCGATCTTCCCCAAAGTTCCTCCCAATCTTCACAACCAAAATTCATCCTCGGCACAAGACGGATGCCACAGAGGAATCATCCGATCTCCTACGTGGCGTACCATCATTGGATCCTGCAGTGAAGCGGCGTCGGTGGCTACGCAGTGGAGGTGCCCACATGACATAGTGGTGTGGTAGTTTGGATGTCAGTAAAACAACAGTTTATATAAGATAAATAATCTACTGAGGTGTCTGTTGGGTTTTGTTGGTAGGGACTATTTGGTTTCCTATGGTTTTCTGGAGCCAGTACATTTTGATTCTTGATGCACACAATGTTTCCCAAAAACAAATGCCATGCATAAACTGATCGGCTTACAAATCTTTAAACTCTTGAAAACAAGTTTTGAAACAATTATCAAATGACATATACTTGGAAATTGGATGAACTTGGTAGTTTCGAAAACAAAAATGAGCAGTTTTTGTCTCCCAAAGAGGGTGCCCAGGGTGCCCCATGAACCCAAATCGCAGCACATCCCAGCGCTGAAAACCGCGACTCGCACCTGCCCTGACCGGCGTTGAGCTCCTGAGCAAAAAATGGGGGTTCCCAAAGTCACCATAAGGGTTCAATACTCAATGGGAAACCTCCAAATGGGATTGATGATCTATTGATTTAGATTGATTTAGCATGATTTAGCCTCTAACAATCTTGAAGATCTCCGAAACTGGTCCAGTAAGGAACTTTGGATGCTGAGATAGCACAGTCCTGTTAATGGCAGCCCCACCCAAATCCCTGGGGCATTTTCCGCCACGGTCATAGGATACAGGACATCTAAGAGCCTCGTTCAACGGCTCACTGGGGCATTACCCAAAACCGACCTCTGTCGCTGGCGCTTGCTGTACCATGGAAATGCATGGAAATGCTCCAAAGTGAACGCCATGACAACTCTTGAGATTGCTTCCAATTGGAGCTGGGATACATTTTGCATCTGTTGGGTTCAAGTAGCATTGTCCTCTTAAACCAGACAATTAGAGGCCCACATCAGTCTTTCAGTTTCCGTTGAAGATGCTTCAACAGTGGCAAGGCCAACAAAAAAACTCATCTAGTCACCCGAGAGAGGGAAAACAGTTTCAGCTCGGATAAATGTTCCCCTCCATATCTGGCAAAAAATGAGCCGACAAGGTTTATCCAAACTCGAAACTCCGGAAAGCCTGGGAAAAATAATAAGGACCGCTACTGATACTGTAATTCAAAACAATATAGAACAATATACACCAATATATAATATAGTAACGTACCCTACTTGTAATTCGAAAACAGTTTGAAATCAAACAACTTGGCGAAGGCCGATTTCCATGGCGCCACAGTCAAGCTTGGTCGGCACAACGGCTCAAGCGCACGTGCCGTTGTTGGCCCAGTGGGCCTAACTGGTTTTAAACAGTTGCGACCGATGCTACACACAGGTCTAGTGCACGCGGTATAATACATAACGACTATATATAGATATCATTATAGATATCCATGCGCAAGGCGGATTTTATTTCATTTGATCCCGTTTGCAGCGTGGAAGGACATGAAAAGACCATGCCCCCGCACCACAAGTATGGCCCCAGTGGCTAAACCACCTGTTGAATCCCATCTCGTTGGATTGTCAATTCATGCTTTATTTGTATCAACAAGATGTAAAAAAAAACATTGAAATATGTTGACTGTTGACATCTCCGAAGTAAATGGACAATGGATGGCAATGGTATCAAAGGATTGCAAATAAAGTATATTAACATAACATGATTAACACATGATGAAATATGTTTATTATCCATGTTTCTTCCTGAGATTGCTTCTCTTCGCTGACTCTGCCTCACTGGCATCAGTCATCATCTGAAGTTTGTCGCGTCATGCCTGCGCTGACGAGGACAAACTGTTGGCCTACTTGGATCTGCGCGACCCAGTTTGTAAAGTTGAATTAATCAGTTTGTATTGTAACCTATGGATATAGCCGGAGCTATTCCACATAACAGCGTATCGCATGATATTACATGGTTGCTAATTATCTAATTGCTACTCCTGGGATGCACGGATGCAAACATTCGTGCACACCAAGCAGTTGCCTTCAGCCTTTGCCAAGCATGTCAGGTATCCGAAGTGCTGACAAGTAACGTGAGCGGCCTGCGCCTTTATTTCTTCTTTCCTGATCCCTTTCTCTGATCTCTTCTGACAAAGCTGGATCGAACTTCTGCAAGAGAGTGAAAACCTCAAACATCATGTCACAGATTGTGCATAGATCAAATCACTTCCAGCTTCAAAGCAAGGTCTAAAAAAGACGTGGTGTTTCAGGCCCCAGAAGCATGGATCAATGGCTACCAGATTCTACTCAGAGAAGTCTCTAATCATCCCAGGAGGGAACAACTACAGCTTGGCGGCGTAGGCTGTCCATTTTCGCACAGAACTTCTATCCTGCGCGATGTTTGTGAAATTGAAAAGGCAATGCGGCTCCAAACTACATAGAACATCATAGAATAGTTGGAACATGTTGAAACAAACGTGGGGAGGTAAGAAACAACATGACACGAAACCATAATTTCTAGTATCATCCATTATCAAATAGAGGTGGAGATTAGAGATTCCTGCGTTTCTTCCCCGAAACTAATTGTTGGAAACAATGGATGCTGCAAGTCTATATGTGATCTTGAATTCAAAACAGTAAAACAACAACTCTACATCTGTCAGGCTGGTGAAGCAAGCAAACCTTCAAATTTCACAAAGTCAATTGAGATCCTTTTCGTCAAGTCTTATCAATACAATACTATACTGCATACTACATACTAAACCACCAGCCAAACAAAATTCATAATCTCAGAATAATGCACCGTTGAATGCCAATGTTTTGCAATTCAAGTTTATGGTCAAAAATCAATCTTGGAAGCCACAAAGCTCCATGGTTTCCGGGCACCTTGGTCGAAGTGTACTTCAAGACCATGTCCATGGCTTCAACGAACCTGCCACGGCTGGGGAATTCGAAACGGACCTAATCAAGATGCTGCTGGTGGAGCGGCTTGAAAAAGGAACCAATGGTTCATTTTTTTGAACATGAACTATTTTTGTTTAAACATGAACTAAGAAATCCGGAGCAAGCGGCGCAAATGCATCCATTATCACCCATTTTGTCTGGGTATTTGGAGGCGAAGTAGGTGCTACATGTCAAAACATGAACTCAGCTATCCCCGCACCGAAGCCGGAGAGCAATGGGCAAAGCAAAAATGACAATAGCAAATCCGGTACTGTACAGTCCCCAAATCAAATCAATGTACAGTAGTTGAATCATGTTGAATCCGTCAACCACCATTGATCAAACCATTCACCAAAGAATACGGAGTCATTCGACCCTGTCGCCTTACCTTTCACACCCCATTTGGTGAAACTGTCCACCTCAACCGAAAAACCAGTAGGAACATGTAGGAACTACTCACTAGGAGCTATCGTCTTGCACAACCTTCTAGTTACAGTAGGTGAAACCTAAAATCCAAATGAAACACGTAGGTCTGTCCAGAAATCGGATGAAATCGGGTACTGCATACCACAAGCTTATGCCATTTTCACAAACAATGACGCTCCGTTGGACTTGGGACATCTTGGGACCTTTCCGATTTCTGATCCATCCCCATGGCAAAATACCCAGCTTGGAATACGACTTTTCCACAGCATTCTACAGATTTAAGGACACCCCCAGAGTATGAACGGCACACTCCAGGGTTTACCATCCAAAACACCCAAAAACACACATCAACCAACTGATCATTCCAAGTTTTACCATGTTCTATTTCAATAAGAAAAACATATTTAAAAAAACACGTCAGCCCGCACCTGGTGCCCCCATCACTGCGATCCCTGCTGCGCAGCTCGCCCAAGAAGCGCCGCGCTGCAAAGTCGAAGTCTGCCAGGCGCAAGGGCCCATCGTGTCCGCTCAAGGCCTTGTTTTGCGGGTGGGTTTTCAAGGCCAAAACGGGTAGAAATCTACAGGAAAGCATGGGGATTTTCTTGAAGATACCCATCACAAGATGGCATTTGATGATTGCTTAAATTAATAAATCTTAAGAAAAAAACAGGGATTATTTGAACATTATTTAGGGCCTCTATAAAAGGGATATTTGTAAAAAAAAACATTTTGGAGGTCATCACATATATACGTCCTTCAATGGGATGGTTTAGGCATTGCGTGCAAAATTTATGGATATACAGATATACTGTAGTAGGATGTAATAATTGCAGCCACCTTGGTTAGTTATGTGGGTGTGTCTGATAATGAGACTAGCAACCAATATATCGCCACTGATTATGGATTGGTTTAAACCGTAGTTTTTCGGTTGTATAAGTTGTACATATAGTACATTTTTGAAAAGGCGCATTAGTTACCGGGGGTGATTACTTGGGTTTCTCGGATGATTGCGGATTACCATATGGATTAGTTTTAGGATGGTCACTATCAACGGAAACCATGATATTGCCATTGAACTGTGAAAATAATAGGTCTCCAGTTTCCACCGTAAATTGTCAGTGAAATGAGAATGAAGGTGGATCCAGTTAGAGTTCTTTAAATCAAGAAATTGGATGGGTCAGGATTCAGATTCAGGGGAACATCTTGGCCAGAAACCATGGTTATTACCATTTGTTGAACGTGGTTTGCCAATATATAATGAGATATTATTTGGATCGTTAATAGCCTCAAGAGAATGATTTAACGGAAAATCTGAAATGGAATCCATGGTTTTACCCATCACAACACATCAAGAATAATAGCTGATTTGCTAAGAGCCTTTTTGGCCTTTTCTAGGCCCGGCGAAGTCCCAATCAAAACTCTGGAGAAACCCGAAAGGTTCCCAAATAAATGATCCCACTGAACCACCAACAAAACACGTATCCCCACAAGAACCTAACTAATTCCCACAAAAAACCTAAACAATTCCCGAAAATGGACCAAGCACATCCAAGGGATGCCCAGCTGATTCCCAAACAATTCCCAACAAATTCCCAAGACTGGGCTGCACCACCATCAAAAACCCAGTAAAACCCAAGAAAAACTAAAACAACAACAAAACATGCCAAACAATTGGCTGCACCTACATCAAAAACCAAATAACACCTAAGGAAAGCTACAAAACAACATACAAAACCCAAAGTTCCCCACTAAACCCACATGGCCCATAGGCTTTCAATGGATTTGTATTAGCTTATTTCAGGATGTTTTTCAATGGAGTTCCCTGGCGGTGCATATAGTATATGGTCAAACAAACTCTAGGAAATCTGACCTCTAAGCCGCTCTAAGACAAAATACATGGGTTCAACGGCAAGATTTCGTTTCAACCGATTATGGGGATGGGATGATTGTTTTAAATATCTGTTGCAAATGGGGACTGAAAGGTGCATGATTAGGTATATCAGCAGGGCTGGTCTGTGAGAATGAAAAACGGAGGAAAGGTGGATGACATGATAATGAAGGGGTGAACCTTTTTTTTGTCCGTGTTCAGTCACCGAACATGTATATAGAAACAAAAGAACATGTTTCAGCAGTCAGCCCTTCCCGAAACCTCCGAACATCAAAGAACTAAACATTAAAATGTTTTTGCACAAAAACACAGCCGTCTAATCAAAACCTGAGAAAAATTAAATGAGAACACATCAAACATCTCTCGACACATATGTTTCAGAGGGACCACACATTTTTTGGACAGTCCCAAACCACAGAGCCAACCAGGCACATCTTCTAGAGCATCATCCACATCTCCTGTGCCCTTGGACCTTGGAGTAGGCAAGGTCAACATGGAGATCACTGGGGCGTTGAGGTCAAAACATATAGATCCCCCCAGAAGCCAATCTCTATCTCCATCGCGTCCATCGCCATTTTTTCTTCAGTCCGAAACCATCAATTCGCCCGAATCAATCAATTTTGCGAACTGTGCACGAGAAATCCGGCTCCATTAACAGTCTGGGTGACGAGTGAGTCGGCGTGGTATCAGTAGAAACTGTAATGATGTACTGAAACTGAACACTCCGCATTTCACTGATGATCTTGTTTTTCGATTTGAGCCATTTCATTGCCAAAACAATTACAAGTATATCACATCACAGAATCAAGAAAATGAAATTAAATGAGTCTTTCCTTCAAATAATTGCCTTCAAATAGCCTCCAAGACTCCAAGACTCGAAGTTGACTCCCCAAACCAACATATGCCAAGAAAATGCCAAGAAACCCCTTTCCTCGACCTTTGCCTTTGCCGTTGGAACGCTCAGGTCTTCGGTCCATTCGGTCCCGGTCGTCGTCACGGTCGCCCCGGAAGCCCGGAAAGGACGGCGGACCATCGCGGTCACGATCGCCACGGTCGCCACGGTCGCCACGGCCATCGCCTTTGGAAGGGCCAAAAGATGCCAAGGCTTTTCCATGCTTTTCCCTGCTGATTTTAACAATCACTGTATCTGATAGTGAACTCCTTCACCCAACTCAACTTGCGCATCTTACAATATCTTACATGACCGCACACTCCATCTCACATGGTCCAAGTAGTGTTGAAGGCAGAGGGACAACTATGTGACAGAAAATGGTGGCCTTCTGACTTGTTGCCTTCAATCATTCTTAGAGATCTGAATCCATCCCATTTTGGAATGTAAATCGCAGTCGGTCCCGTTCCTAGTGGCCGCCCAGGCACCTTTCTCACCCTTCTCACCCTTCTTGTTCCCAGCATGCGCCAAGCGGACCACTATGCTGCCACCCTCAAAGGGACGATTGTGGAAGGTCAGAGCTTTCTGTGCCTAGCCGTCGAAGGGCTGTGGGCGGATACCAAACAGCAAATCATCATGAGTATGAAACACTATTTATACCTATACTGTATATATAAATATATATATAATTATCTTACATTTATACATAAATGATAATATGAAGTTTCAATCTTTTGTTGACCTTTGTTGCTCCACAGTTTTCCCTTTGAGGCAATCAAATCATGATACTTCCCCACCACCTCCACAAGCTGACCGCCCGGACCTTCATTTGATCACGGATACTGCGAAAATTATTCCGAGTTGCAGGCCATTTCCGATACCTAAATTTGAACATATTGGAAGTATACGAAACTTACCTGCGAAGCTCATGTCAGTGTCAGGACATATAGTACTGCAGATATCTCAAAACACGAAGTCAAAACACACACCAATGAAAAAGGACTCAAGCAGCCTGAACATGCCTTGAATCCTACATTTTTTCCATGGTCACCCGAAGAAATCGCACCCACATTGGCCCATCCCTTACAAGTACCATCTACATGGCTTGGCCCAGGGTTGTCAAGTACTAGTAGAGGAATGTAAACGGGCTGTGCCATGCACCCTTTAAATTAGATATTAAACTGTATCATAACGTGATATTCTATATTGACTTCACGACTTGTAAATTGTTCTCCCTTCCAAATTCTGCCGGATTTATGTTTTCCTAGATCCAATACTAAACTATGGTTTCGTTTGGGGATATCTTATCATAGGGGAAGGGATTATAGCAACCATATATATCTAATATATACATGCATATCCTGGTTAAAATGGGATAATCTTGGAATATGCCATGTACATACAGGTTCCAATATCTGTTCTAATCTCCATACATGATGATCTTAGAATATCTTGGAATATTTACTATAAGTTACACATATATATATAATTATATGTTGCAACAAACATTCCGCCAGATGCATTTATAATTATATACATGTTATTGCTATATTACTTTGGAATACTTTGGATATGTTTTCCAGATGTTCCATAGAAGTTCCATAGAAGTTCCAGGATCCTCCACAGCTTAACCAATGCTCTTCAGCCTACCTGCTCCTCCGTTCGGAAGGTCACGAAGCCGACGCCCTTGCTGCTGCCGTCCGGGTTCCTCAAGGTCTTGAGCCGCTCGATGTCGCCCGCCTGTGAAATGCGGGGGGGGAGGTTGGAAAAAACACAGTGTTTGATGTTGTTTAACATTAAACTATGGTAATAGTTTTTCTTTCTAAGTAGTTTTTATGATGATGAAATCAAAGAACATGGATTGACATCGCAGTTTTATATTTTGTTTACGGGTATTTTTGAGGTGCTGATTTCTTTTTTGGAATTGGGGATGACATGGGTTTCCAAGTCGGCCCTGCCGTCCTGCTCGAAGAATGCCCGGATGTCATCCTCGTGCGCATCACCTGGGGTTTGAATGATGGAAATGGCGAAATGAATGCCACCTTTCAATGCGTTGTTTCGTGTTGGTTTAAGGCAAATTCCAAACACCATGAGTTTGATCATGAAACACTGGGGGATACTGGGGGCTCTGTACACTTGCTGATCATTCAATTCTGGAAACCCCGCAACATGATTATACATATATATATATATTTATATATGTATATGTATATATATATATGATTATATATGTATACATATATATATATATATATACATATGTGTATGTTTATATATATATATATGTAAATAAATATAAATATATATATATGGATATGATATATAGTATACAGTATATATATATATATATTGGCGGCAAACACAAACTCTTTTGGTAGGCCTAACTGAGTCTTGCAAGGCCTGATCATCACATGCGCCCCGTGGGCATCCCGTTTCTACCATGGCAATGTAGGTCCCATACCACGTTTGGAGAAGTGCTCTCCAACGCTTGTCACTAGATTGCTGGAAACACAATTTGGCCATGTTTTACCTAACACATCTACCAACAACTTGAGGTGATAAGTGATAAGATGTGATGACACCAAGTGATACTTAGAAATTTCACCTGATTTCTTGAAACGCATATACACAGAGAAAACAAAAAAACATGAGAATTTGATTTGCCTGCAATCTGTGTATAGCGAAACAAAAGCATTTCAGTAGGATTTCGTGCGGTAAAATAAATGTGTGTTTCAAATTTGTATAACCCCGATGTATGTTAATGTTAATGAATGGGTGACAAAACCTTTCGATTCTGTTTATAGTCACCCAGACAAGATTGGAAACATATAAATTATCAAATGTTGTCAATACTCCTGATTCAGATTTTACCAAATAGGGATTATATAGCAATTAATTGTGTGCTCACTTTTCACTTTTTGGTTCGTTATAATTTGTCTTTCCCAAACAATCATTTACATTACTACTTGATACAGTTGGTTTAACACATATTGGTAAATATTGATTAACCGTTTGGTTCAACTATTAAATGACCGACATAAACAATCCGCAAAATCACCATTAATGTGGTATAAAGCAAAAACCATTTACTGTATAATTTATAACTGGCATATTGGTTTAATATACATATTTATATATAATATATAATATAGTCGGTTTTCCATGTTAATTAAAGAACAATGGCTGCCCTGCCCATAACAGAGCTCTTCCAAAGGCACCAAGGTTGGCCACGAAGACCTGCTTGGGATCCGCCTCTCGAGGCTCCTTACCTGGCAGATTTCACCCATGGATTTGTTGGGTTCCCATCAAGAAATTTGGATACATAAACCATGGTTCAGCATGACTTAACATCATTCAACATGACTTAACCTGAACAAACCGTGATTTCACATAAGTTAAGATGACTCGACCTGATTTATGCACAATGATTTAACAAACATGATTTAAAACAATCTAGCCTTAATTAACACGACTTAACATGATTTGATGTGATTTGGCATTGCTTAACCAGAATTATCATGATGTTAAAAGAGTCAACCTGACTTACACTTATTTAATGTGATGTGACCTTACCTACCATGAGTTCAGATGATCAAAAATGGTTTGACATGACTCAGCATGATTTAGCCAAATATAACAAGATTTACAACCCACCCCGGCCCCAACTGGTTCAACAGAAACAGTCATTGTCATAGCTTAATATGACTTAACTTATAAAGCATGATTCATGATTTTTATAAGCTGCCTCAAATAATTAAACATTATTTACATAACTTACTGTAAGTAGATTTCAATTATTTAGCCCGAATTAACATTATCTGACCCTTAAAACCATGGAAGTAACTTTGACGGCCAACGATCACACAACAAAAAACAGTTGGAGAATGTTCAAGGGGCCACGATCCTCATCACTGTAACTTTATGAACTGTGACCTGTGAGTTGGAAAGTTTGGTGGATACCGTTGCTACCCGGTTCTTGGTAGCCAAAGTATGATTCAGGATGATCCTTGATAATCTTGATATGGATCTGTTTTGAATGAGCCTGGGATGAGTCTGCCAAATCATTTTACCACGTCCACACAATGTTACAATGTTTGTTGTTGGCAGCTCTCTTGGCTCCAAGCCGCCTTTGTCCTTGGATTTTCCTTTGCCTTTTCCTGAGGCAGTCCGCAGGTAGGCAGTAGGCACACCCCATTAAATTCAGGCGGTTCTAGGACTGGAATTATTTACTGGTTTGGTCAGTCTGTTTCAGCTTCCCTCGAAAATACTAGTCCGATAGGAGTCATGATCCTGGAAAAAATCGCATCTGTGTCAAAAGCAGCAATTCATGTCGACCAACTTGAACAAATCATTGTTTTCAGCTGAAGAAACCATCTCTCTGTCTCTCTCTATTGCTGAAGAAACCATGTACAGCACTGTTCTCACCCAGGCAATGTTACAAAGTGACCCCCGTTACAATTTATCCCTTTGTAAGCCCATCCTACGAACTCTCCTCGGCCCAAAAAAACCAGTTACTGTACCCAACCCCCTGGTTAGTCCTGGTTGGTCCGTCCCCATTCAGTTTATCCCATCTATTAATCGCATATAACTAACTATCCCACTGGACCCACCGGGCCTTTTCCTTCGTCTCGCTCCTTGCGGTCACCGAAGTCAATGTCAGTGGGTCCCAGGCCAAGGCCAAAATCAGCATCTGCTGGAGAGGAGCTGCAGGGTGATTGCTGGCTTCTGGAACTTGAATGAACTTGAAGGGTCCAAGACATTATTTCTGATTTCTGATGTGGTAAACCATGGTAAACCGTAGATGGGTGGTATAAACATGCATCATCCCCAAACGCTGGCTCGGTCGCCCTGTAAACGCGCGTTTTTGGTGAGGCAAATCCCGTAGGCACGGATGGTTTTTGTCCATTTTTCTCCACGTACGTCAGTGTTTGGGGTGGGATGGGGTGGAAATAAAGAAAAGTGAGCTCACAAAGGAACAACACATGTAAAGGCCTCCAAGGCCTTGAAAAGACGGGCTGCTTTGAACAAGGGCAAGAAGTGTTTCGTCGTTGGAGGCGACAATTCAGCAGAATCTGAAATTTCCAGAACGAAGGGGGAACTTTGACCCGGGAGGAATCCCAAGGACTTGCAATTTCACCAATTTGCCGCAAAGGGGTTCCTGGAAAAAACGGGTTTGGTTCCACTTCTGGCTGCGTTTGCACACTATCTCACAACTCAACAACAGAAAAAACCAGGTGGACTCAAACCTGACATGTCATGTTTGGCCTTGGCAAAGACCATGGCTGCCCTGAAGAAAAAAGGTGCCCAAGACATCTCTTGGCGCGCGTTTAGACGACCGAGCTTTGGTTGGTTCATTCTTGGGTCTACCACATTAGAGTGGGAGAACGGATACATGTTTTTCATGTTTGTTTCTATAAGTTGATGGGTTGGAGTCTAAGATCTAATAAATTGTGGTGAATTTGTTTTTTTTTCTGGGTCAAAGCCCGCAAACGTTTTTTTCACCACAAGATCAGCAACAACCGTCCCTTGACAGCAAGGCAACTTTGTGGACCTGTCCAATGCTGGGGTAGGTAGAACTATGAAGAAATCCCTCTCACAAATAAGTTTTGCTTCTAGAATGTGATAAAGGGCTGCACATAAATGCTCAATGCACGAATCTGAACCTCTGCCAGCTCACATGGGCTTGCGTTGAACTTTGGGACCCCTGGCCCCTGGCCTTCCCAAGCTTGACCCACGGCACCTCCAAATCCTCCATCTCCGAGTCCAAGGTTATTCCTCCTGAAGGAAACCCGTCGTTCGGTTATGGGCCTTAGCCAAGGGTTTAAGGTTACCTATGGTTACCTCACCATAGCTGGTTTGTAGACCGAAAGTGTAGGATGTGTAGGTATCGAAACAACAGATGTAGCCCATGGTGCCAGCCATTTTCCCCAATTCACATCTCATTTTGCCCGTAGCAGCCCGTCTGCGAAGGCCCCACTGTGGGTTTTCATAACGCCCTCGAATGGGGGCCAAGGCACTTGCCGAAACCAAAGTCCTCCTGGGCAGGCGGTCTGACATGATCGAAACGATACAACTTCTTTCCTGGGCTTGTTGGGGCCTATATCTGAAGAATTTAGGGAACAAACAATGATTATCCCAGCAAGGGACCCAAACAGTGTGGGGGGATTAAAAAAATCAAAGATCATGCAGTATAATGCTGCTGATGATGATGATGATGATGGTGATGATGATGATGATGGTGATGTTGTTGATGATGATGAGGATGATGATGTTGTTGTTGATGATGATGATGATGGTGATGATGATGGTGATGATCATGGTGGTGATGATGATGACGATAATCATGATGATGACGATAATAATGATGATGATGATGAGGAGGAGGAGGATGAGGATGATGATGAGAGGAAGATGATGATGTGGGTGTTGAGGAGGAGGAAGAAAATGAAGCTGAGGAGGATGATGTTGAGGAGGATGTCCGATCCTGAGACCGGGAAGCGCGCTTCGTGCGAGCCTGCGCGGTCAAAATGCACATGGACATTTCACAAGAAGCAAACGCTGATCCCGGGGCCAGCGTTTTGTGCGCGCTTGCGCGGTCAAAATGCACATGGACATATCACAAGAGGCATTTTGTGCGGAAATTTACAAAGAAAATGCCAAACGCTAATCCCGGGGCAGCATTTTGGGCAAGCTTGCGCGGTCAAAGTGCAAATGGACATGTCACAAGAGGCATTTTGTGGACAAGGAAAATGCCAAACACGTATCCCGGGGCCAGCATTTTGTGCAAGCTTGCGCAGTCGAAGTCCACATGGACGTGTCACAAGAAGCATTTTGTGCGAAAATTCAGAAGGAAAATGCCAAACGCGTATCCAGCGACCAGTGTTTTGTGCGAGCCTGCGCAGTCGAAATGCACATGGACATGTCACAAGGGGCATTTTGCGCGGAAATTTATAGGGAAAATGCCAGTCGCTTCCGGTACCACCTCGATTGAACACCGGACCTTCACTGTTACCGTAAGAACCCCTCAGTGTGGCCACTGTTTGGGGAATAAAACGTTATAAAAACATAGCCCAAACATATTAAATCACTGGAGCAAAACTGATTTATATTATATAATGCTTTGAACTTTGCTTTCTTTTTGTTGAATGGTTTCCGGTTTCCAGCGAATTAACAGCAGAGTTCAACGTCCTTGGACAGGTCATCGTCCTTTGGCCGGAAATCACCCTTGGGAAGCGAGGATCCAAAGTCATCCTCAGTATGGCTAGCATCTTTGACCATGAAACAGGTTGAGTTGGTTGAATCCATGAAAATGACCCGTGATGACCCGTGTCGCACGTCCATTGGGACCCTGATGAGCCAAAGTCTTGTGCCCGCCTCAAAAGCAATTTGCTTCCAGGCTTTTTCAGGTATTGCTGAAAGCCAGTGTCGAAAAACAGAGATCATGGCAGGATGGTGCTGGGGACGGTGTTTTTTCCTTGTACAACTGTAGATATGGATCCGCTTCCTAGTCCATCATATCAACTTTTGTCAGCCAATTGAACAGTGCTGCCAGAAATATTAGGATGGAACTCCCACATCGAGGATTCTGCGAAAACCATCTTCAAAGGCAGTACTTGATGTGCAATCGCTGCGATGTTTTTTGGGAGAATGTTACATATTGAATCATAGGCATAGCCGTACATCTCATGCCAAAATAGTATATTACCGCAATTGATATAGACATTTACAATCAAATATTGTGCCATGTATATATATATATATGTATATTGCATGATTACTGCGTTAATCAAACATGTCAATGGAACATACCCCATGTATAACGTATAGATGATTGTCCCATCAAAACCTCGATTTTTTGGTGATTTCCCAGTGCCACGCTGGATTACCACTGGAGGTTATACATTACCGGCCTTGGATTTCCCCAAACCCGAAGCCGTTTGTTCACCTGCCATCACTCGCCATCACTCGCCATCACTTAGCTGGGAAGCCGCCAGAAGATCATCTAACCTGAGATCCATCTTCAGCTGGTGATGGGTGAACTTCTCGATGACAACGGTACCCTCTGATTATTGAACGTAGCCATGGAGAATCACCATTTTAAAGATGCAAATCATGATAAATCATCTGTAAAGGAGGCCATTTTCCATAGATATGTAAAATATCCAAAGGGCATTTCAATCTCAAACAAAATGCCTAATTACAAGAGTGTCCCGGATGGTTTGGATGATGTTTACCTCATGTTTTCATGTATTCCTAAGTTTCCAAACTGTTCGGGGTTGCTCTCATGAAGCTGCTTCCGCATGCCTGACCTGCACCTCCAACAATAGTGTTTGATATCCACAAAAAGGCTTGTGGAGAACATGCGCAGAAATTACATACCAGCATGATCCAGCATGGCAGTATCATATAGTAATATAGTACCACAATGCGTGCAAATGTGTGCAAACATGAGCTCCCGTCTTTGGAAAATGTTGGAAACATCAACAGGAACATGTCATGTGTCAAATGCTTAGTGGTGGTCTCAGCCTGACTCAGCAAACCAACAAATGCCATAGGCCATGGATTAGATTCAACAAATAATAATAAGAATATACAAAAATACAGATTGTATATATATATATATATACAGTATACATATTTGCATATGCATAGGTTATGTAAAACTTATGGATCTATATGTATAAACACATCTATATCTACATTAATATCTAAGTATATAATATTAAACGTACATACAGACATAGATCAATATATATATATATAAACTATATCCCTACGGTCAACCAAACATCATGTTGATCAATTCTCCCAGTGAACATCGCCAAGTCACTCGTCCCTTCCAGCATCCCAAGAGAAGCCACCGGCATCACGGTTGGAGCTCCTATTTGGAACCCGTCAAGCGATAGATCTACAGGGGGGTCGTCTCTCAATCAAATGGTTTAAGGCAAATTTTACAGGAAACACTCCATTTGACAAATCCATGGTTTCTGGTGGATTTTTCCTGAAACCAACCCACTGACTCTCACATGTAGACTGCGAATGTTGTGATTTTCCGCAAGCAGTTTATCGTTAGGGATCCTCAACTCTTTCTTAAGAGGTGTCCGCCCTAGTGTCACTGGTGGTGTCCGGCTCTTCGAGTGTCTCCCTTCATTTGTTTGCATCATGTGTCTCCCAAGTGTTTGGGGCCTACAGCCCTACAGTGGTGTAATTTGAATAATTCAAGAGCCGCCAGAAGCTGAACGATTTGAGATTCAGCTAACGATCTACCTATGTAGCCCACCAACTTCTCACCTAGAACACATTTTGTCAAACAACTGCCATGAATTTTGATCAACCCTTGGCAAAGTTGGGCGGCAAAGTTCAAGGCCATCCACTTGATTCTAAAACCCATTTCTGGCAACATTGGAGGCGATTTGTTATCGCGACATTGTTAAAACAGGGGACTGAAGAATGTTAAAACGTGAAAAATAATGAACAACTGTATACACACATATATATAGTACAGTACCACCCACATCTGTCTTTTTCATCAGAACTGCAGCTTCCAAGGCTCCTGTCTTTTCCAGGCTTGTCCGACCAGAATTCATCACCATAGATATCAGTGTCCTTGGCCACGACTTTTATATCCGGCCCCTGAGTGGAATAGGCAAACTGCTGCACATTTCATGAGTTTAATATAGTTTAAAGATCGCACTTGTAATGATAAACAGGATGAACAACTTCATCACTATATGTTGCTATATGTTGCTATGATGTTTGCTGCTGCTGGTGATGACAATGGATGTGGATGATGATGATGATGATGATGATGATGGTGGTGGTGGTGGTGATGATGGTGATGGTCATGGCCATGGTGATGATGAGGAGCGGCATTTGTGGTGTTGACCCTGGGTCTGTTCAACCTTTACTGACTTCATGGGTACATGAAACCCAAAGTCCACCCAAACAATTGCTAGATTGACACTTGGCTGTCAGCAAACCAACACCTACGAACAAACAAACGCAATGAAACGCAAAGTTCTTTGCCCGTGTCTAGCAGAGTACATCCAAGCAAAATAGACCACCTGTGTCCTAGCGCGGGCAACCAGCCGTAAACTCTCACTTTGCTTTCAACGTGCTATCATTTTGCCGGCGAAAGTGCGGGCTTTCTCAGTTTCTGGCCTCTTTGGATTTGAATCCTTGAAATGAGTCCTGCGATGCCAGGAGCCACTAAAAATGGGCTTTTGGATGTCACCCAAGGCATATCTCTCTCCATACAGTATGCATGGTGCATTTTTCGCAAAAAAAAAAACATCCAGAAACAAGGGAAACTAGCGGTTCTCGCTCTCTCTCCAACACCATCTCGTCGAGTGCGGGGCCATCCATTTCTGGATGCACCTTACTTCAAGATGGAATTTCAAAGGGGCCAAGTTCAAATCGTCGTTCGTTTCAAAAGCCTACTCCACATCGGTGCCAAAGGATGCCATGGCTGACATTTTGGGCGTAAGGGGCTCCTCTTCGGCTTCAAAGTCTTCTTTGTCGTCTTCCTCATCCGCCTTACCGTCACCCAAAACTATGCACCATGTCAAGTGCATCTTAATTGCCATGGGCGAAAGTGGGAAAGCGCTAATTACAGTAAGTGGAACAAATGCGGTATGCAAAAAAATGTGCAAAACCAACTCTCGGCACATCCTCTAACCGCCCAATTTCTCTCCGAATCGAACCCCGAGGTTCATCGGAACTGCAGAAGGGGCGCTGGAGCTTGGACATCTTCTTGTTGATCTTCATTCTTGTCTGCCCCCGAGTAATGCCAATAGGCCAGGATGGGCAATGCCGCAGCAAAGAGCACAAATTTCAACCTGGCAACACTGATACCATCTGAGATCCATCGCGCGTTGTTTATTGGCACTAGGCCGAAATCATCCGAAATGACCGGGCCTCAAGAGAACAACCACCCCAAAGGCCACCAACCTTAGCATCCACCGAGCCCCTGAATCTCACAGCCTACCACCAAGAATTGATGTTACAAGTCATGTTCAACCTTCCTATAAATAGATATAATAATGCATATGATATCAATATAATATATCTATATATGATATATGTAAATTATGAAAATATGTATAATATGTAAATGATAGATAGATAGGTGTATATATATACATGTATATACATACATATATACATATAGATATAAAATTGGATTCCATTTGAGAACAATGAAGTTCTTGGGTTCTGTATTCAAACTTTCAGGTACGTTTGAAAACGATCATGTTGTTGGTTTCTATTGTGTTTAAACTTTGACGGACGCAATGCGCTGACACCAGACTCTGACCCAAGGTCAAACACCATAATTACCCCTGAGAAAACACACATACACATACAGAATATACAGACATCTACGGCATGTCGACTAGTCGTGACTAGTCACATTACCAGCCCTGTGAAGCGCCAAGATACGCCCATCTGGTCATGACTTCAATTTTTTCATTCTTCACATCCATGGCGCCGCCCCGGATGGCCCTGACCCGGGATGACCCCGCGGGAACGGCCCACCGCTTGTGGGGGGATGATCTTTTCTGAGCCAGAAATCAAAGGAGGCCACGAAACCATCCATATCCATCCAACCACCTCCAGTTGGACATTCTCGACGAAAACATTTATACCATGTCAATCCATGTTATACCCACCAAAAATGTTGATTCTACATTTAATGGCAGAAACTGAACGACACACTGGCCCGTTCTTTTGTTGGACTTGGTATTCTGTGCAGAAAGAAACGGGGCCCAACCAGGATGGCTGTCAAGTCTGAACATGTTGCATAAAACGGTACATGCCATGAGGGCCTAAAAAAGTCTTCCTCAAATGCACATTCTAGATCATTAGTTATGAAATCAAACAATATCCTGGTATACATTCATCCACATCATCATTGACGACTGAGCAGCCTTTGGGGATATCATACAAACATCATACACCCCCCTGCAGAGTCTCAAGATGTCTCAAGCATGCTCTTGGATGGCCATTTCCGGCTTTCGTGCGAGCTCTCATAAGGTGAGATCGGTGTGATGATTTCTCCTTGTTAAAACTCAGGAAAATGCAATAATGCTTGGATGTTTTTGGGGATGACCTTCCTATCAAGAAAACACATCGAACACATCATTGCGCGAACATATGAACCATCATCAACCATCATCAAGACCAGGCAAAACCAGAAAAAAACATGTTTTGATATGTTTCGGATGGTCCCCTATAGAGCCATCATGGCATCATTAAACCATCACCCACTCCCTTCCCTTCGCACTCCTACTAAGCGCCTGAGAGGGAGTCGCACTCACCGCCCGACGTGGCCACGAGTAGGAACTGCCCAGGGCACCAGGGCACCGTCACCATGGGGTGGGGATGCCAGCAATATGCAGCCATATGGGGATTTAACTGTATTATACATTGATATATATATATATATAAATACACACACATACATACATACATACATACATACATACATACATACGTACGTACATACATACATTACATTACATTACATGACATGACATGAAATGACATGAAATGACATTACATTACATTACATTACATACATTACATACATACATACATACATACATATATATATATATATTATTATCATTATGATTATCATTTTCATTACCATCATTATTATTATAATGGTTATTATTACGATTATTATAGTATATATATATATATATACAGTATCACGGATATGTGCTGCTGTCAGCTTGCGTCGGCAGTAGCACACTTGCCTCCCGTATTGGCTAGCTCCTGTTTGTGTTTTGTGGCCCCAAAACAGGGGCCAGATTTGGACCCCAAAATGAGGCCACAATACTAAAATTAATAGCCCAGCTTCCAAATTTGTGGCCACAATTTTGGGCCCGTTTTGCCTTCTGCAAAGAGTGCGTTGGGCTGCGACAGGTTGCATCTTCCATTCATGTTTTCTTGCGCTGGGTGCCAGGATGTTGGTTTCACATGCAGGGTACGCAGTGAAGGAAGGCAGAAAGCATGCAGGCCCACAGCCCCAAAAATGGGTCCGCGTCCCGCGCAAGCCAAAAAGGAACGTTTCAAAAGGTGCAGGGATGCCTGTGCTGTTCTGCAGCAAGCATGACTGCCACAAGCAATGCAAAGACATGCGCACCGCCAGCGGCAGTGTACAGAACCCTGCGGCGCAACCCCCGGCACCCCCAAACATCAAAGTTGGCTTAATTACTTCCGCACTCTGCAGAAAGCAGCTACACCACGAAAGGCAGCAAGACTGGCTTTTGTGAGTGGCAACGTTGATTCCTGGGGAACGGGGCCATGTTTGCGCGCGCGCACATCCACATACATCACGCAGAATTAAATTAGCAATTCGCATTGGCTTGGCCGCAAAACTACTAAGCATGTGCTCAAAAGCTACTAAGCACGGTCTCACATTTCATATTGGCTTGGCCGCAAAGCTACTAAGAATGCGTTCAAAAGCTACTAAGGACGATTTCGCAATTCGTATTGGCTCGGCCGCAATACTACTAAGAAAATGCTCCAAAGAATAAAAGAAATACAGTAGTATCCTCTTCTTTTCTTGAATTTTGAGCAACATTCTTAGTAGTTTTGCATCCAAGCCATTGTGATTTGCAACTCACGCCTTAGTAGTTTTTCATGAACTCCTTAGTAGTTTTGCGTCCAAACCATTGTGATTAGCAACTCGTGCTTCAATAGTTTTTCGCGATATGCTTTGTAGTTTCACGTCCAAGCCATTGTTCGTACCTCATGCCTTGGTAGGCCTTGTATTAAGGCTTTGGAGGCGCTTTTTCTCGAAGCCTAGGTGGGCCCAAGGCCCCAAAACCGGAGCCTCAAATAAGTGATAAAGCAAGCGTCTCGGGCATGTACCCTCGGAGTATATATATATATATATAATATATATATATACATACATATATGAACAAATAACGGGGATATAGCCAATTATTTTTGGATGTGACCCTCTGATAATCGAACGTGGCTTGCTGGAACATCCACTCGTTCAAAAACCTCCGTTTAGTTCGGGGAGTTCACAGCTAGACATGTTTGATTACTGGAGGGTAAGGTCTTAACCTTCAACAATGGGTTTGTTCAAATGCCTGATCCAACTGATCCAACTGATCCAACTGATCCAACATACACACATATTATATTTGTGTATATATATATATATGTATATATATATATATATAATTATATATAATATTATATATATATATATATATCGTGATGAATGGTGTTTTCACGTTTCACCAACCTGAAATGTTCGGCCATTTTCGCAGTTGATGATTCCAGCACTATTTCTAGCGACGTCGACCCCTGGCGGACTCGATGGTGAGACCTCCCTTGTCCGCCAGCTCCTGACCGCGGAGCTCACCGCAATGATCTCAGCACGTAGGGGAGCTCATGGGATTAAAAAAAAGAACAAATATAGCACATATGGCAGTGTGTCAAAACCTTGTACCGCTGGTGAACATCAAAATAGCTGGTAAATGGATGTTCATCCCACTAAAAATGGTATTAATAGGTATTGATCCATACCCATATCAGTACATAGTCTGACTTGTGTTGTTCCAATAATTTGAGCCAAGCGAATCTCAGGACAAAGATAACCATTACTACAATCTTCATGTGGGCACAAACGCCCACACACACACTACCTACCCTCCTCAAGACCCTGGCGAGTGATAAATGTGATCAAGGTTGGTGGATATGAGACGGCATTCTGACCCCCATTTATAGATGATTTTCCCAGCTAGAAACCTCTATTTCCAGGGAATCGGCCATTGCCATGTTTGATTATTTCGTAAATTCATATAATTTCCAAGATCTCTCAAGTGTCAGCGGCCCCCAATGCCACGATCTGTGCCTGCACTAGTCCTAGAACTTTCATCGTGGCGTCCAGCATTTGCTTCGGCGTGCCTCCCAGCAACCCTGGTTACCACCTGGTTGAGGTTGCTGTTTGGTTCAACTCCACAGGCCTTCAACATTTAGCATGAGTGGATTGATCGGCGCTGCCTTCGGATCCACTAGCATTGACAGGGCCGAAAGTGTTACGTCAAGTATCTCATTCACTTCTTGCAGTGTATAAATTTATACATTTACATATCCATAAAATTGAATAAAACAGCGCAATTTGCTTGATTGATTCACCTGATTCGCACCTTTTTTTTCACAATCAGTCACTCCAGTCAAAGACTTGAACCAAGCTGAGATAGCAGCACGTCTGCGAACTTATCTTGAGGTAACTAAAGGCACACCAAGCAACAAGTAGCAAGGTTGAGGCATTTTGTCCCATGTTGCATGATTGCATGATATTTGAAATAATATTTCAACAATCTTTGGGGGTAGAGTTTGTCTATCCACCTGCCACACTGACAGGTTGGAGCTCTGTTCCAATAATGCCATTGCGACCTCGGCGATACATCTCTTGAGCACTTGCTCTTGGAATTGAGAACAAAACAACCTAAATCATGATACCATCATGTATCATGTGTGATCAGATCAAGCAGTGTCATCATGTATGATCACGTACAATGATGTATCACCATGTATCATCATATATCACGTTGTGATATCATATTCAACAACAAAAACATGATACCATGATCTTCATGTGTCATTCATCATTCCTCATGTACTGTCCCCGTGGGTCGACGGGACATGATCTTCCGCTTGGATTTTTTTGCTCAGGCAACTGCTGGACGCAAATGATCTTCCAGAGATTGGCATGTTTTAAGTCCTCATTTGACTTGGTGAAATGTTTAACCGCCCACTTTCGTTGATCGCATCCCAAATCATCTACACACACATGTATATATCTATTATTTTTACAAAAAAATATATATAGGTAGAAAAAATAGAAAAATAGGTAGATAGATAGCTGTATAAGATATATACATATGTTTTTTTTCCCTTCTATATCCTTTTATCACATGTGTTTTGTGGCCACAGAATCTGCAATGTCCCCATCTCGTTTCTGCCCAGTTTCTGATATTCACTTCCGCCCCGATGGTCTCCACCAGCTCCCGAATGGTATCTCCGCCAGGACCAACGACATGCTCCACCTACGGCGCAGCACGGCGCTACGGCTCCAACGATAGCGAGACAAGCGGATTAAAGGTTGGCTCATGTAGATAGATAGGATAAGATAGGATAGGACAGGATAAAAAAAAGATAGATAAACAAATAAATAGATAGATTCAGATTCTTAGATAGATAGATAGATAGATAGATATATATATATATGTGTGTGTGCCACATATGTCGATATTTATATATATATATACACAGAAATAAAGCATAATAAAGCAATAAATTGATTATTGTTGATTTTCCACCTTCGTGCTTTTTGGAAGGTTTTTTTTTGGTTGTGCGTGCGCAAGCTTCCAGTGGCTTCCCCAGAGGTGACGCCCTCCCAAAGGTTACTCTTGAAGAGGTTGGTTGAACCCCCATGATCTCCATGCAGCAAAGTGGCAGCCCCACAAGGCACCACCGTGACCTTCCGCGAGAGGTCAAGGGAAAAAAACAGTCTGCAGTCTGGCGTACATTAGGGTGTTTGTGTATGTGGTTGGTGGTATTGCTGCTGTTGCTGCTGGTGCCTTTGCAGTGCTGTTGCTGTTGTTGTTGTTGTTGGCGAACGGTAAATGGAATGAATGGTATGAATGGAATGAATGGAATGACCTCCAAAGCAAGTACAGGAAAACAACGGTAGTATCTATCAGCAATGGCTGAACATGGAGAGCATCACAAAAAACTGAGGCCCAAGCGAAAATGCCGTCCTCCGTGTCATCGAGCTCTTGTGATCGATGGACAATCCGGATCACCTGCTAGCCCCAAAATATGAAACGTAGACCCTGCACAATAGGGGGTTGGATGACATTAAGATGACTTTCTTTCTAAAATTGTAATTGTCGGTGTCTATGTTCATTGAGGGGATCGTAGTGATGGTAGTTGGAAAAGAAGTCTTGTTGCACCACGGTCCACTGCTTCTACCTTTTCCACCGAAGGTCCATATGTTCCACCAATCCCCCCACCCACACACACACACATCAAAACAAGCATGGCAGCTCTGCATGCTGGCAAGGACTATGCCCTAGGATCTAGGACATGGCCCAATCTTGTTAAACTGACCACCAACCATCATTATGTCGGATGGTATTTAAAATCCCCAAAATGGAACAGTTATACCAACCCGGAGGACATCTCCAGTGAGACCCCTTTGATGTCACTGAGCACATGAGACCGGCACCCCCACCTCTCGGCAAGCAATTTCTATTTGTTCAGGTGTGCCCTGGATGGTGACGATGCCTTGAGATCGCTGCAGAGTGGTGATGCGGAACCAGGGCAAACAATGGACAAGACTTAAGTGGGAGTTGTGGCCAACAAAAAGGCCTTCATCTTTCAAGTCCATTTTTTCAAGCAAATTCGACTAAGCAAAAGAGTCAAATAATTATTAGAAATCATATGCTGCATCATGCTACATCCAAGCATGGCTAAATGAAACTCCTTATGCTTAGCATGCTGAGTGCTTGATGAAGACTGCGACCATCCAGCAGACTATGCATGCATATGTATATATATATATATGTGTATACAGTGATACAGTGATGATTTCTGTACAAGCAAAGTGAGAAACAAACAAAACAGTAGTAGCATTCAAGAGTTGACGGAGAGTTTTTGTTACAGTAATCCAAGTTTCCATCATCAAGTGATACATCCCCCAAAATTTCCGTACGGATGGTGGCAAAACCATGTTCAAACAAGGGCATCATCAACAAGCAAGGTACGATCACTCAACGCTTTGGGAGTGTCGCGATCTCCAGACACATTCCTGGGATCAAAGGCAAATCATTGGCTTCGAACCGAGGGGCTCATGAGAAAACACCTCCAACACACTTTGTCTTAGCCAAATCAGATTCCCTGATGAAAAGCACATTTCCATATATTATATAATCAAATAATATCAAATATATTTCCCAAAACCAAGCTTCAGGTCATTTCAGGGCAAGTTCTGCCATCAATTTTGGTAGATTCCTGAAGGTGTTGCATCTCTCCACTCCAATGGGACGCACAAAAACGGCCCAAATTGTATGAAGTTGATGCTACTTAACCCCAAATCCAGGGCTCATCATTTCTCCTGTCAACATATGTTGTTCTTTTGAATTTATACCAACCTATGTTGATACCTAAAATATCCTAAATTATACAGTAGATAGGTGGTGGTCGAATATACCCCCAGTTCATAAATGAGGGGAGTACTAACATACTATGTTATCACTTTATTTGGGTGACCACCCCCAAAAAGTGGTTATCAAGCCGGCGTCAACATGGCAATGGAACATGTCCCTTTTCAGAAGGAAAAAAAAAACGTTAAGACCTCCATTGGTGAGGGATTTCCAATCAGCCATGTTTGATGACACAGGCAAATCATTCCCCATTATCCCGTTGAAAGATATACTTGGCGATATATTTAACAGAAATAACCCATGAATATCACATTGTGAATGGGATATCAAATCACTAATTAACACCACAATCCATTATATACATTATGTAATATACTTGGTGATGATCACATATCTCAATAACTCTGCATCAAATCAAACAAATCCACGTTTGAATTTATCCAATAATAAATTTTAGAGGAAACCTTCAGGAAACCCCTATACTTGATAGTAGAAACCACAGAAAACCATAGTTTCCAGTAGTCTTTCCCGTAAACCAACCCATTTGAAGAGTTAAATTATATATATATATAGTTATATATATATACACAGTTCTATCACCATCTCTCCAACAAATCCATCTCCATGTTTCCATGGCAAAATCTTCGCATTTCTTCTCCGTCCAAGTGTCACCTGCGCTTTGGACTCTTCGCAAATCTGTCGCACCGTTGCCCCGGCTCGACCTGGGAATGGTTGAAAAGAATGAGTGAATAGTAATCAATCACACAATCATGTTATATCATGTTATGTCATGCTATCATGTAAACCAGCAGTAGTCAACAAAACGGCTGATTAGCCACAATTTAAGTGGTGTGGTTCCAGAAAAACTTCTCCGGTACCCTGGCGTCCAGCACACAAATCAAGTCATCAACAACCACCGCCAATAGAACAAAGTAAGTGACCACCATGAAACTATAGTTGAATACTTTCCTAGGATTTTGATGGTTTTGCTGTTCTATCTTTTTACGGTTGCCATATTACCATCTAACGGCGGTAGCCCTTGCGCCATCTTGCGGCCCAGGAGCCAATGATGAGACCAGCCGCATCGGACGGGACCAAGCAGCAGCAGGGGATGGCCGTCATCAATGCGCAGAGCGTTGTGTATGCGACATCCACGTGACTGTGGAAGAACTGGATCAACTTATGATATCTTATGTCATCTTCAATCAGTTTCTAAGATGTTCAAAATGTATGGAAAAAATCGAGTAGGATTTTGCCATATTTTGCCACTACTGAATTGAAATTAGTTTATAGCATCACTATGACATGCATACTGGTTACCTACAATGGTGGTCGGCTAAGTGCAATGGCAATGGACCATTGGCAATGGATATCGGCCCGAGGGGCCGCAGAGTCCAGCAAGAGAATCATGAGATACGGCTTGAGAGAGTTCTCTACCGCCGAGTTTCTGACAAATGCTAATAGACTCATAAGTCATAAGTTATAAGTCATCATAAGTCATTTCATATCTGAATGGCTCTGAAGATCTAGAATATTGAGACTAGACGTCCAGTGCAACACCAAAGCCCAAATATGGCTCACCTTGTGGCCGAGTTGGGACAATTCGTATGATCGCCCTGCTCACGTTTCCGTGGCTGAATCTGGGTCTGCCTGAAGAAAAGGCTGCCTCTAAAATAGGATGGTTTGTCATCATGTCCCATATTAAAGCGGCAACTTTGGGGTTATGACGCACCCATGTGGCTACATCAAAATGCTTGGACTTTATGGACTCAACCGAAACGGTTGCTAGGTTGCTGGCCTGAAACAAAGAAAGGTATTTTAATGTGTTTTAGAGGTGGGAATTGCATCCGAAATCATCCGAACCACTCATCAATTCATGAGTTGCTCAAGGGAAGCAAGCCACTTAGCAGGTCCCCGTTTCGGCGTGGGTGGCACTGTTCATCCAATATCATCCAATCAGCCTGAGTCGCCGGGGAATGCTAGTGGCATGGAAATCCTGGGTGCTGAACTTCTGAACCACCGAGGTTGCAATTGTTTGTGGTGGCACTCCAGATGGTACTGGGCGGACGTTGTTTCTTACCCCAGGCACCCAGAAGTTACCCCATCCCAATGGCACGCAGGGTTACCCCAGGCCAACCGGAAGTTACCCCAGGGACCAAATCCTATTGGCACACTGGTACCACACCATCGTTGGTTTGGCAAACAAAATATTTAAAATGTGTCCGTGCCATTGCGAACCACATATTTAATACCATCTCTTTTGGTAATAAAACCATGTCGAAAGTAAGCAACCGCCATTGGCACACACGCATTGACAGCAAAACAGCTGCCTTCTATCCAAATGAGAAAAGTAACCAATTCTGCAGCACACGCCCCGTTTCCTTGTCATGGATTCGATTGATTTCGGTAGTTTAATTATCTGTTTCCCAATGGCACACCTAGTGCCAAATAAGTCGTGCAAAGCATCTCTGACCCGAGCCCCGGCGTGATCCTACGCCATTTACTAGAACTTGCGCCAGCAGCATGGCACACCGCTTACGCCAGACATCAATAATCTTCCGCCAGGTGGAAATCCTATTGGCACACCGACGGTCAAAGTGGACTAATTCTGAAGCAGGCAACTCAAATATATCTATTTACTACGCGTTTACTGTACAATTGTTAACCAAAAGTTGGCAACCATATATGCCTGTTTGAACAGTCAGAACTGTCATCCTCCGCATGGCACACCGAGTTTCATGGCATTTCCAACATACAAACTTGGATGTGATCGACGTTACATTCCTACGGTTTCTATGATAAATTCTACTTCATGCCAGTCAACCCTTTCATCCACTTCCCCATGGCACACGGCTGATCGGATCGTGTTTTTTCAGGTCATCTTCTTATGCTTTTGGTTTCTTCCGCGCGGCTTCCAGCCCTTTCACAAATCTCTTGGTTCTCTGCCCAAAAACCGCGCCTCGCCCAGAAGCAGCAGCACAAGCAACAGCAGCAGCAGCAGCAGCAGCAGCAGCAGACCAAGCAGCAGACCATTGCAAAGCCTTTCCAAAACCTCTCCGGGTTGGGTTTTGACTGGCTGCAAGTTTAACGAGGTCCGAACGAGGTGCGAACGAGGTCCGAAATCGAATTTTGGGAGACTGACCCCCTAAGTCTCCTGACAGACTCTTTGGTAGCCACACGCTTTCGCATTCTTTTCAGAGCTTTCAGCGGTGGAGCAGAAGAGGAAACCAAGCCAAGCAGCAGCTGCAGGCAATAGCTAAGAGACAGAAGAGGAGACAAAGGTAAGGGAGACAGAGGGGAGACAAAGGGACGCAAGCTTGGCAAACAAGGCGGCGGTGACAAATTTCAGCGGGCACAGACTGTTTCAGACGTAGGAACCGTGATAACCAACGATATCTAAAGGCTTAAAGCTGTCTGGGGAAGAAAGCAAAGCCATGGGCAGAGGAACCACCAGGCATGGGGCAGCAGGTCAGCATGACCTATGTTCGATTGTCTATATTTGAGCCCCAAACTGAAGCAAAACACAACTTAAACACATTTTTTTGCGTATTAAACGTGTTACCAATTTCAACTAAACGCCACGAGCGCAACGACTTCCTAAAATTTGTCTGCCAACCTAGATCCAGGAAAAGTATACAATCGCCACGACTTTCATCTTTGGGAGTATAGTGGGTAAACCCACAAAAGATATGACAGGTAAGCATCGTGTGCTTATGCGAAGTGCCAAAAAATACATCAGTGAGTTAAAGTCATCGGCGCTGCCCATATGGGCCTTTCCCCATAGGCACACCACGATTTGGCACAAGATCTTGTCATCGGCACTTGTTACAACATCGACCCAGCTCCCAAACTTGAACATACTAGTCACTAGCACCAAATGGCATGCACACCGATGTTGGCACAAGATCTGTTGTGATGCACAAAATCATTGAAATACCCAGTGTCACATATTCTCTTTGACCGAGCATGCCACTGCGTTTGGATGTCACAAGTATCAAACCAAGTAATAAACAAACATGTTTTTGACAACCAGTGTGCCCCTGCATTGTGTGGCCTGCAATGGACAAACAAACCATAAGAAGGTTAATGACTACAAATGGAAGGTTCAGGTTGGTGAAATTCAGCGTGCCTATGCGTTTTGTGGCCTTACAATAAGCAATGGTCCAATGGAATAATAATATCATATATATATATATATATATATCTTTTATACACACTTCCCCACGGCACACCGACCTGAGACAACTTCAGGGGAGACGAGACAAGAAACAACATGAACCCAGTAGTGGTTGGTAGATGTTGGTAGGATGGTCATATCAACAAAAACGGGAGTGGGCTTCGCTGATTGATGCAAGCAAGCAGCTTTTTAGCCTCTGCTGAAAGGTGCCATGAGAATGAGAAAGCAACTGGCAAAGGGTTTTAAGTGTTTAAAGTTTGTTACGAGATTCTGCGCTGAGAAGTTGACCTTTCCACAGCTGCTGTGTTTCATGCTTTAGCAAAAATGCAAACACATGTGTTTGCCCGAAAATGGTGGATATCGGATATCGGATATCAATTTATATAGAACGGTATAATTCTAAGAGGGAATATGGCGACAAGCAGATTTGGGACTAGTGCAGCTGTCACTGGCTTCTTGAGTCGAAGGATTGCACACATGACCATCTTGAAAAGGCGACTTGCAAGGTTGCTTTGAAGGATAGATTCTAGAACAAAAAACGCATGAGTTCAGGATGCTTCAGGATTCCCAACATGGGACTCTCCAAGTTTCCCTACCATGGTATGGACATCTGCTTGATGCTTGCGTCACACCAATCGACATCCGATGACTCATCACCCTCTGAGAGCGGATTTTCACACCAACAATGCGCAGAAGCCTCGAATCTAAAATCTCTACCTGTGGTGATTTAACATGTTAATACTGATACTGTAATATACTGTAATTATATAATGTAATTGGACTCAATGTGAATAATTTATCAATGGGCCATTTTCCATATGTTAAATTACCAAAGGATAAAAAAGAACTAAACAAAACAACCAAAACACGTCACGTCAAGAACAAATCCCAGAACTTAGAGGGCAATAGTAGGTACTTGCTTGTTTACAATCACCGTTGAGAAAATACTTGAACTCATCGTCTGAACTTGCCAAATTGAACATGCTAGTTCAGATCAACCATGCAGCTTGTCGCTTGTCTAAGGTACCCCAATAGACCACATATGTTACATACATAGCAGAACACATCATGAGGACTAAACACATGAACAAACATCTCTCTATCTCCGCTTCACCATCATCATGAACCAGTGTAGCATCAACATGCATCAACACTGTTTCACAATCAGGAGGTCAGGTGGAAATCGCACTCATTTCCAGCATAAACATCCCCATAAACCAAGACTTCCTTGTACTCGAATGGGCTGACATTGGTTGACCGGTTAGAAACGGTCAAATAGTAACACTTGATAATTGAATAATTGGGTAAATCATGGGTGTTATCACCCACTAACCAGTTATACAACGTTATACAGTTATACAAGTAATTCCACAGCCCTGTCCATCCCTGTCTCTTTGTGATGTCCTGTGGCTGATCACCCTGGCCCCTGGTCCAGGTAAATCGGCGTCTCTTTGGCCGATGAAGTTTGTGTTTTTTTTTCACCTGCCCTGAAAAGCGCAGATCAGGTGCACAACCCCTTCATTGTCGGGAAGATCTTGGGTTTTGTTGGTCCAAAACGAATCTTATCATTCTGAATGATTTGGTTGGAAATATGCACACAACTTTTTAGATCTTTTTAGTGCTGCTTACTTTATCTAGGATACTGAGTGGAGAACGTTTACTTTCATTCACTCTCCAAATAAACTGGCTGATGCATGGTAATGCCTAAACACCTATGCGACACACACACATATATATATATGAACGTGTATATTTATCTATACATATATATACATGCATATAATATCATATAATATGTGTACGATTTTCAATGTATGTGTGTGTGCAAAAAATGTGCATGATTGTGCATGCCAAAAAGTCCGTGGATTCAAATAGAATTAGACTATACCAAGTATAACCATGTATAACCGTTTTAAATAACAGGGCATGTGACGCAGGCGTGCAAGTCAACTGCCGATGAAAACAAAACTCCAGCGCAATAAAGGGCATGGGTTTACGGCTAACCGCAGCTGACCTCAGGCAAGTTTCACGAAAGCTAAGAGTTGGTGGGATATGTTGGGATGGCGCATGATGGCGCACTCCTTCCATTATGGGGAAATAGTCCCGCATCGAGCTACCAAGGTTTACCACCGTTTGGTGGGCCTGCAGCATGTAAGATATTGATAGACATTGCTCAAAGCATTAAAGCATTTTGAAATTGTTCGCAAGTCTGACTTTGCACGCTTAGCCAAAACTGGCCGGCAAGAGCTTTCGATTCGGTAGGAATCAATGAGAGGCCACCCTGTGATGCAGGCATAGCTTCTGTTCTTGCCCAAGTGTTTAGTACTGCCCAAGGGTTGAAAAAGTTTGAGTTTGTCAATCAAACTACCGAACAATATGTGTGTTTCCATCTCCAGGTCGCCTTTATGGAGTGGGTGGAATTTATATTGAGCATCAACATATGTTTCAGTTCAGACTTCTGCAAGATTGTCTTGCATTCTCAGGTTGGCCTCAAAATTGTTGCTCGGTCAACCGAGCAGCCCGTGCGGACATCCGCCCTCTTTGAGGGAGATTCTCTGGTTCGCCAGCGGGTACAGTGACTCTCTCAAGCTTCGCCTGGAGAAATAAATGGCTGTCGCTCTCAGAGATGAAGAAGTATTCCTCCTACATCGAGAGAAGTAAATGTTGTACTGGGTCGTTCTACGTAGTGACATAGTACTAGGAGTATGATATGAATTGACATGATACTTGTAGAAAACGTCCAAACCGCCTCTACATTGCATGATCGTGTAGATAACGACTTGCGGCATATGTACGTATGTATATGTGGCATTTCCAGGGTTTCCAATGTTGAAATCTCAATCAACCATCTCGCCAATGTGTCTAACCACAGAAGCCTAACCATGAATTGAAGCAATTTCTTCAGCTAAGAGTTATATAATTAAGAGATGTTAAGTTAAGAGTGAGAAAAAGGACGACAATTAAACACAAATACATGGGATACTAGGCACGTCTATCCAGCCCAAGGCTTCATGGACACGTGGTGCAAATCTTCATCTCCAGCGGCCAGCGTTTAAGTGTCGCTTCCGACGCTTTTTTTCGCGGATCATCGCGATCCTGAGAGAAAGCCATCGGCGGTTGATTCGAGGATTAATCCCATCCCTAATATTTTTTACACCTCCTAAATTCCTAAATGGTCCTAAATAAGTGCAAATCTCCTACTAAACCATGGTTTCTAGGAGGAAGGGATTATAATGATACATCTGTCTGTGATTGCATGTCTATAAAATTAATTTATTACTATCTCATAAATACGAGTCTAGTTCACATGTGTGCACATGTGCAAAATACTATATACATGCATACCTCACGTGAAACTACATAGATATTGGATTATATCATGCAGACTATGGTTCCAGATTTAGCAAATTTATATACCTTTTGCAAAAAAAACAACAGAGCTCATAATAAATTTGCAGGACTTGGAACTTCCAGGTGAGATAATTGGGCTTGCATGTTAAGTGTGGCGTTAAACGGCCAAACTACACAAGGCACTGAGAAGAAAAGAAAGGCCATGCTGAAAGAGTCCAACCAGAAATGTAAGCATGTTTACATACAAATAATATACAGCAATATACACATTTACATATTTACATATGGACTATTTGACAATTAATTAAATTTAATCATATGTAATGACTATGTTTACTTATTGGCTATTTTTACATATTGACTATTTTACATATACATATGAAATTCAAATGTATGCTTTTAAGCACCACCTTTTCCAGTGAATTTGGTGCCTGGATCACTCCGCTTCCCGAGGAGTAGCTTGAGCCTGGCGCAGCCATCATTCCAGTGATGTCGCAGGGAGGTCGTTGTAATTCATAAAACAAAAATGAGGATGATGTGGTCTATTCAAACATGAAATAAAGCGATTTGAAAGCCAAATAACTGGAATATTCGGAATAGTACCAACCTGGAACACAACTATTTGGGAGCGATTCCCTGCATAATTCAGTCAGAAATGATCAAACATGTACGTATCAATGGGGTTTACTCCAAATAAATCAAATAAAGTGCTGCCAAATGAAATGCCAGAACAACGAACACACACTAGCCTTAAATAAATCATGTTTAAGCCTCAAGAAGAGGGACACCAAACCTACCCCCCCCCAAAAAAAAAGTATACAACGAGGTAACCAAAAACGGTCGGTCAGGTCGTAAACACGCGCCAACAGTCCTTCTGCAATGTTTGCTGAAGGTCATCAAAATATTGATGATATAGAAAAAGGACATAATGTAGCAAGTTTCTCTTCATGGATGGTGGAGATGTAGCGGTGATAATATAGAGATAAATAAATAAATATATGTATATATATATATTATATGAGGAAAAAAAACACATATTGATCTTTGTTCCAATTGAGAAGTCAACCACAACGAGCATCTCATGGCCTGATCTCCCTTTTTTCTGCATCAGGGCAGCCAGGAACATTGAACATCTCCCGTGACGTACCACCCCATGCACAGGTTAACATGAGACGTACTACCCAAAACCCCATGACGTAACACATCACGTGAGTGCAAGTGCCAAGGAACGTTATTGCCCTCCACCCCCCACCCCAACCCATCTATGACTTAGCATCAAAGTAACGTAGCATCATGTGAGTGCAAGTGCCAAGGAATGTTATTGCCCCCCACCCCCCACCCCAACCCATCTAATTATGACCTAGGGTCAAAGTAACGCAGCATCACATGAGTGGAAGTGCCAAGGGATGTTATTGTATTGCACCCCACCCCACCACCCCACCCGAAACACTAACGTACGTGGGGGCAAACTGCACATAAACACACCGTGCCTATGGGAATTGCGTTCATAAAAACGCGCGTTTTCAGCCCGGCAAAGCCACCAACAAAAACGGCCAACCCAACAAATCCAAACAAAATACAGAGAGAACAGCAAGGCACTTGAAATTTAGACCGGAAATGACCGGAATAGAGGATCTGAAGACCCTGTCAGCCTTGGGATCCTTCGGTGATGGCGCACCTGGAGGCCTCTGGGCCTCGGATTGACAAACGGGCTCAGGCGCCGTCAGGCACCACAAAATTCATACAGTTTCATAGGTGTCATGTGCAAACAAACATTTTTTTTCATATATTATATATATATATATAAAATGAGACAAGGGGATGCTTTTGTCCCCATGTACTGTAGATACTTCGAATAACTTAGATACATTTTGGCTACACTGGTTCATCTGCAACTCTTTTAGCTATACAAATTTGGGGAATGGGTCCACCCTGGCACCGAGGTTGCACGCCCCGCAAGTTTTCTCTCAGGTTGAGGCCACAAAAGGAGGATGCTTACACAAAAATGCAGGAACATGAATGACCTTTCGCATTCAATCCTGTCAGACTCTGATGGGATTGGAATCAAAAAAACACCCTTTCAATATCGAGACACAACATTTCCACATAGTGTACTGTCAAACACTTTCGGAACCACCCACTGAGCAATTAATAAATCAGCTTGAACCCTGAATCGGGCGCATTTTTTGGCAAGCTGTATCCACAGCTTGGTCAGCTGAATGTCTCTATCCGGCTGTTGAAGTTTTTGATCTGAAATCATCACATCACCTCTTTTGGGCAAATTACTAATCAGGCAAATGTCCAGGTTCTTCACAGAACCAGTGGATAGACTTCTTTGCTTCGCTCGTAGGCTTCACTTGGTGACTTGTAAGACTCCTTTACTGAAGACACAGTTTGCACCGGTCCGCATCGCCGGCACGGCACGGCTTGCTTTGGCTGGAAGAGAGTCATGGCGGAAGTATCCAAGTGCGAGGTTCAAGAGGTTCAAAGGCAAACTTCCAGGGGATTGTCGGTAGGTTGCTGGAAATCGGTTGGCACTTTCGTGCCATCAACTGACCTGCGCGCAGGTAGGATGTGTCTGAAAATATGGTGGGAGATAGTGCCCCAAAATTTGATGGTTGTTTTCCTCATTAACCCTGCCACTATCTGCCATTTTATGGGCATCCCCGGTGTCCCCTTATACCGACGCGTGTGAACTAGATATGTATATAAATTTCCTATAGGTCAAGTCTGAGGTAATAACTCAACTATCTCCAACACCCAATTATCGCGTTATCCAACCATTTGAAGTTCGGCACTTGAATCCCACATGATGCCGAAGACATCCTTCTGTAGGATAATCAATTCTCAACAATTGAGCCCTGTGCTGCCAGTGCTATTTGGGTACCCAGTTCGTTTACAGCAGAGTAGATCAGAGCACTATGCCAGTGCATATGGCTAACAACTCCATGTTATTCATTAGAAAAAAACCAGCCAGCCAACCCTTTGCCAATTTTTGCCATGTGCCATATAGCGTTTCCGACATTTACTCTAAAAAATCCAAAAATGGTCCCAATGCACAGCATTGATGGATCGTGGAGTATTCCACATGCCACACCACGCCCATGCCATGCCTGCTCAGCTTCCGTTGGCGGCGTTTGCGGGTCAAAGCCCACGGCAGTCACTGGCACAGCCACCTGGTCTCACGGTCCCATGGGGGGGGGGGGGCAAAATGCCTGGTTGTTCTTTCAGATCTTTCAGATACCCAACTTGGAGGTACCTCACATGTTTGCCTTCTCTCAGGCCGAGGTCGGCAAATATCCACCAAGGAAAGTAATTACATCATCATATTGCATTCATACAATTTGCAGCTGTCATCTCAACAATCCCAAGGGTGCTATTTAGCGGACGGTCAATTGACACCCAATAATTTGGTGGCTCGAAATTTTCGTTTGGTTCCCCAGGAAGAGGTCCCCGGGTGAGGCTGTTGGATTCATGGTGGACTGGATTTGGATCGGGAAAACAGAAAAAACTAACTAACTAAACCAAACAACATAACTGGGGGGTCTTCCAGATATTTCCAGATTCATTTAGAAAAAAAACAGGTTATCTGAAACCAAAGGCGAAAGGACTGCACCTACTCGCGCCATCTCCTGATAGGATCGCGGTGAAGAGACGCGTTGTACTCCGAGGGCCAAGCCAATGACCAGAACAGTCAGTGATCCTTGCCTGGGGGTTGGCTTCGCCTAACGAATCAAACTGGATCATGATCCCATTTTATTTTGCTGATGGAAAATCATCTTTGAATAAAACATATTGTTACAATAAGGTTCAATATGCGCCTATGTTGGAATATTTTGGGATGAATAATTTATCTCAAAATAACAATCAATAAAAACAATAGTATTAAACAAAAACAAGAGTATTAAACAAAAATGAAAACGCCAACCAGCTGCAGTATTGCCATGGCTTGAAAAACTCGTTCCACAGACAGGTCAAGGCAGTTGAAGGCAACGAAAGATATAATCCTTGGCTGAACTTGGCAGGATGGGCTTGTCCTATATATGGGGGTTGTCCAAAATACCTTTTCCCGGACAGCCCTCAATCGCTCAGCCAATCGCGTAGCAACCGCGGTACCACAGTGAGCAATCGCGGAAGGGTTTGTTCTTCGTTGATCAGATCATATACATAAAATATAAGTTATGTATTATATAATGAGGATCCATGCCTGAACGCATTCGATTTCAAATTTGGGAACAAAATAAGCTCGCGCGGTCCGGAAACGGTCCGGAAAACTCACAGTAGTACCAGCAGCAGTAGTACTAGTAGTACTAGTAGTACTAGTAGTACTAGTAGTACTAGTAGTACTAGTCGTAGTAGTAGTAGTAGTAGGAGGGGTAAGAGTAGGAGTAGGAGTAGGAATAGGAGAAGGAGTTCTAGTAGCAGGGCAAGGGAAGAAAGGGAGAGGGAGGGAAAGAGAGAAAGAGAGAGAGAGAGGGAGGGGGGGGGAAACAGATGTTGCGTTTGACCGGTTTCTGACGGGTTTCTGACTGGTTTCTGACTGGTTTCTGACTCGTTTCTGACCCTTCAGCGGAACTCGTGTCAATTGGATTTAAAAGCAAGAGCAGAAATTCCTAGGTGTACTAGTGGTAGTGGTGGTGCAGTAGCAGCGGGTGTGGTGGTAGTACTAAGAGTAGTAGCAAATCTAGTGGGAGTAAGGATCCATGCGTGAACGCATTCGATTTCAAATTTGGAAGCAAAATAAGCTTGCGCGGTCCGGAAACGGTCCGGAAAACTCACAGTAGTACCAGCAGGACTAGCAGTAGCAGTAGCACTAGCAGTAGTGGTAGTGGAAATTGCAATAGGAGTAGGCGTAGGAGTTCTGATGGGAGGGTGAGGGAATACGCAAGGGAGAGAGAGAGAGAGAGATTGCGTTTGGCCGGTTTCTGACGGGTTTCTGACTGGTTTCTGACTGGTTTCTGACTCGTTTCTGACCCTTCACACGAGTGCAATTGGATTTAAAAGCAAGAGCAGAAATTCCTAGGTGTACTAGTGGTAGTGGTGGTGCAGGGTGGTGCAGTAGCAGCGGGTGTGGTGGTAGTGCTGGGGGTAGTAGCAAATCTAGTAATGAGAGTAAGGATCCATGCGTGAACGCATTCGATTTCAAATTTGGAAGCA